AATCACATAGGCCATACTTGAATTAGACAAGAGTCGATAACTAGCCTATACTAGAGTCGCAGTGGGGGTCGACCGAATCGATGCAGCCATACGAACAGAGGTATAAACCATGAAGGTACTTACAGACAAGTAGTGGAGGTCGACCGGATCGATGCAGCCGTACTCGCTGAAGAACTCGCCGAGATCTACTCTACTCCTACTCCTAAGGGGTGGCCGGAGCCGAAAAAAGTAATTGACTGGTATTTGATTGATCGTGTGTTTTACAATAGCCGGGGTTTGGTATTTATACTCGGAGCCTAAAAACGAACCCTACTCGAGTACGACTGAATACAATCTTTGGCATAATGAAAGCATTCCTAATTTAAGATAACTTGGACTCTAATCTTTTCCTTTTTGTAGAGTCCAGCATGTCTTGTCCCAGCGCCGATCGTGGCCTCTGTCGTTATCTGCTGACGCTATCTGAAGAAAGCCGATTCTAGTGCTGCGTCCGAATCAACTAGCTCCGATCTCCACGCAGCTGATTCCTTGATGACATGATTTCAGGAGCTTCCAAATCCTTGCAACTCTTCTTCCAAATTCTGGTGTAAACACCGCCTCTTCAATCGCGCTGCTCATATTTGTTTCATGGGCTTGGTGGTTAATACCTGCGAGCCCGCATGACCCACAAAGTACGTCGTGGTCAGCACGAACAGTGAGCGCCTATCGAACGCTGTCGGCCCGTGCCGCCCGTCGGTTCCCCGCTCTCAGCATGGAGATATTCCCATCGGTCCTCGGCCCTGTCATGGGTGTGTACACCTCAAAGATATTCCCGCTACAGGTGCACGCACTGGGCTTCATGGTCTCAACCGCGTTACCGGTGGGCGGCGGCATATCTCCATGGCCTTCCTGTGTCTCTAGATGGGCATCACCATTGGCGGCAGCTTCTTCCTCTAATCTAGCATCACCACGGTCGTGTGAATTTTCTTCCTCGCCTACCTTCTGGAGAACCGTGGTCGCTCGCTCGTTAGAATTGGCCCTGACCCCAAGAAAGTTTTGACGAGGGCGCTGGCTGGTGGGAGTGGATTGGATCATGTCGTTGCCACTACCAAGTCGAACCGCCAAGGAGGGCGACACTGGCAGGGGCGGCGGCGGTAGCGATAGAATTCGGAAGAGGTTGAGAGGAGGGCGACGCTTGAAAAGCTGCGGCAGCCACTTCTTGCGGGCCTAGTGGGTTGCAGTGCGTTTTCTCTTTGTCCAGTGGACTTAACAGGCTAAATGATAATGGTCCGCAAATAATTAGTGGCCAGGCCATAACAGTCGCATCAGGTTATTTTGCGGGGCGGCTTGGTGGGTAGCGGTAAGAACCCGCCCCGTCTGCATCCGTATTTCTTCATTTGCATCTTCAAAGGGTATGCTGATGGCGGGCTAGAATGGATAAGATCAGTTGTCATTTCCCATGCCCACCGGCAAGGTTGATATATAGAGATTGGTGTTTCTCCATACTTTCTTCTCTTTCTTGCTGCCCATAATGCCCACACGGCGCATAAGATAGATTCACATTTCTCTTGCGAACAAAATGCAGTATCAAGAAGGTCCCGACTCCAAGTAGTTGGGTGCAAGTTTGCATGGATAGGAATATAATTATTGATAACACACCACCAAAAAACTTTTACCTTTGGGGGAATTTTTAGTTTCCAAAGGTTTCGCAAATTGGGTTGTTTTAACTTACTGAACTACAAGCAATGTTATTTTTAAGAAGGACAACCATTCTTCAATTAGAAAATAATAAATGATAGGCTGACCTTATCGTGCTTTTCTGCACTCCAAGCCCATGTATCTTTGTCAAGTCTTCCAAGAGGAAATCTACTCACTGCATTTTCATCATGAATAACGAAGTTATCCCGAAGAGCTTGTGTGTTCCAGGACATTCCATCAAGAGATAAGAGTTCATGAACCTTTTCAGCTTGTGCTTCTGGCTTTCTATAAATATGATTAAAGCCTAGATTGTTGGGAATCCATTGATCATTCCATATATTAATTGTATTTCCATCTTCAACTCCTTTGATGAGGCCTTTTTCTAAAACTTCCCTTCCTTTTAAAATTGCCTGCCATGTGTGAGAACTTCCTCTTTTCTTCCTTGCTGTCATAAAAGAGCCATTATGAAAATGATTTCCACATAGTATTTTTGCACAAAGGGATTCTGGTCTAGTTAGTAATCTCCAGCCTTGTTTGCCTAACATAGCCAAATTGAAGAGGTGAAGGTCTTTGAAGCCCATTCCACCTCCTTGTTTAGTGTAAGCTATGTTAATACATTTTCTCCAATGCATTCTTCTTTTTTCCTCATCTGCACCCCACCAGAACCGAGATATAGCTGAAGTAATTTTCTTGCAAGGAGTCTTTGATAGTTGAAAACAACTCATCGAATATGTAGGTATTGATTGTGCTACAGCCTTGATAAGAATTTCTCTACCTGCAGCATTTAACTTCATTTCACACCAGCCACTTACCAGATATCGTATTCTACCCCATTGGAATCTTGGTGGAGATGGGCCATGGTTCGTCTCAGCACCGGCGCGCCTAGTCGGCGGCGGCGGCTCAATTTGTTGGTCGTCTCCTCTGCTTTTATGCTTGATCATGCATGTCACAAATGGCGGCGGTACAAATGACAACGGCATAAGCATGGACGCTGTGGTCGCCGGAGACAACGTACCCACACACGGCGCATCATAAACCCATCCAAAATGCATGTATGGAAACATAACATAGCATACAAGAGCTTATCATCACACAAATATTAATTAATAAAAACTTGTGTAATAAAGGAATTAAAAAACAAAACAAGTATGCTGCAGGTGCATGTTTAAGTTCACAAAATATAATTGTACACATTGATTTGTCTGTTTAGTTTTCTAGTGCTCCGAATGGTGTGTCTCCCTCAATAAACTGAGTTCTGGTGAACGAATCATTGATTTTAGTCTTCTAGTGCTCCCTATGGTGTGCTCACATTTTTTTGAGCAAAGCGTCACCCTTCTTTATTCATCAGGATAACTAGAACAAACTCCCATCAGGAGGAGCAACAAACCAAACATGTCTTTCTACCAAAAAGTTTACAGAACTCCTAGCTAAACAATGAGGATCAACATTTGAGCGTTTGCCTTCATGAACAAACTCCACCCTTGTGAAGCTTCACGTCCGGGTCTTGATTTCCAGTACGATTGGCCCGTACCTCCCAAAACCCTCACCATGGATGCTTGCAACTGCATTGACACAGTCGCTCGCCACCCGGAGGGTTTGGAGGCCCAAGTCATTGGCCAGAGCTAGGCCCTCGGGCACACCACCACCTCGGTTGTTTCCGAGTCGGCACAGCCCTCTAGGACCAACGCCAAGGCGCCCAGAAAATTACCATCCTCGTCCCTGGCCACGGCCGCTGCCGAGGCCTTTCTTGAATTTTTGGAGATCACCGCATCCACATTAACCTTCGCAAAACCCCTTGGTGGATTGATCCATCGTGGTGCTGGATCACCCACCACTTGTTGTTTAGTGCTTGGCTTGATCATCTCCAATTCGCTAATGAACCGTTCCACAAAACTGTTCGTCGAGAACGGACTTTGAAAGTTGTTCTCGAAAAGTGCCTGACATCGCGCGTACCAGATGGCCCAAAGACGGACAACCACCCGTGTGAGCTCTTCATGCTTGAGCGCCGCCATCACCTCTGCTAACCAAACTCCGTCCGACGTTTCTATCTAGCTTATAAAAGTGGTGAGATCCTCTTCTCCGGTTTGGGTTCTATAAGCAATCCCAATTCAAGGCTCATTAATTTTGACACTACAAGGCCAAGATGAACCTTGGGCGAGCCCACTAGAACCTTTGAGCTAGTCAGCCCTAGTAGTCATGAGCCCTTCTACGGTTTTATATTCCTCTCCTTTAGCCTATTTTCTGCGAATAATCAACACGGGCAAAAAAAGAAAATCAAAGTGGAAAAGGATAAGATTATTGTATATAAACAACATTATTGTGATGTCATACAAATGTTTAGAATATGGAGCTAAAAGTTTGTGCATAATGCGGGTTAGAAACACTGTGACACAGATCTGATCCTAGTAGAGAAAGTGGAGTAGTGATAAATGAAAACTCGCACTTCGGTCATTTTTTTCTCTCGTTCTTTGCACATTCAAATAGCTATGGGCAAAAATAGGGTTGCAGAGGTCATGTAGAAAACTTTTCCACAAATTTATGTAAAAAAACTATATTGAAAAGGTTATGATAAGAAGTTATGGTGATAAGTTCTATCCTGTAAAATATTATGCACAAGAATTATAACATTGTAACTTTCTAAATATAAAGTTGCAAAAAAAATATTTTTTTAAAAAAAAAGTGTGATGGTTTGCTGGTTTTTAACATAGTATCGCTGATTAGTGGAGTCGGAGATCCCGTATTGAGTCCATTCTCTAGTGAACCGTCTTCACCAGTTTATCAAACAAAACAAGGCCTTGAGGTTATGTTAACTCACACAAAAGCAGCAGCTCGGGGAAAAAAATGGAGCTGGTTGAAGGATAAAATGCTACGGTAATCTGTGTTTTACCGGACAATAGCGCAAAAGGGACAATAGTAAACTGCAAATTGGGAGATAAAATGCTATGGTAACCGCGAAGTCCACGCATATGGCTGAGGAGATACGCAAAGGACACCCCAAGACTCTCCTGCATGAGTGCAGGTTGTCCATCCTTTCTCCACTCATTTCAACTCTCAAACGCGAACCATCCACTGCCATCCGGCTCGTTGATGCTAACAGGGAATTTTATACCCAAATGTAGCAACAATAATAATGCTCCAACGCTGTTCACATATCACTTCTGTTTACGCAACACTAACATGACATGGTTGAATACTGAGTTTTCTAGTCCCAAATGCCCGTAAAACAAACAGGAAGAACTGAGTGCGAGATATATATATATATATATATATATATATATATATATATATATATATATACACCACACGCACTCTTGCATGAACTGCAGATGGGCATCATGGATGGCTATCCAAGAAAGCCAAACACCCAACACCACCAGTCTCTGATGGACGCCCCCGCCGGCGCAACCAGCAGCACCACCCACGCACCTCCGGGGCCTCACCACCATGCCACCGCGAAGAAGAGGCACCACTCCGGGCGCACCAAGACCATCCTTCTCTTCGTCGTCACCAACTCCATCTCCATCCTCCTGTCGGTCTCCTTCTCGCACGTCACCGGCCTTGGGAGCGGCGGTGACGGCGGGGGCGACTCCGCGCTCGACTTCGCGTTCAGCGTTCTCTCTTCCAGCCAGAGCCTCGCCGTCGACCTCCACAACCGCATCGAGGCCACCGACGCGATCATCAAGAGGCTCATCTCCAATTCTGGCAAGATGAAGCGGGACGCGCCGCCGCCGAAGCTGACGCCGGAGGAGGAGCTCACGGTGGCGCTCGGCCCGCACACGCTCCCGTTCGGCTACACCCGGAACCTCGACTCCGACAAGCTGTACCCAGCGGTCGGCGCCGCGTGCCACCGCCACCGCGACGAGCTCAGGAAGTACATGCGGTACAACGTGAGCGGCGACTGCCCGTCCGACGAGGCGTTCGCGGAGCGGCTGATGCTCAAGGGGTGCGAGCCGCTGCCGAGGCGCCGGTGCCGCGCGCGCGGGCCCGCCGGGTTCCCGGACCCGACGCCGTTCCCGGAGAGCCTGTGGGTGATCCCGGCGGACAAGTCCGTCTCGTGGGCGCCCTACGCGTGCAAGAACTACTCGTGCCTCGTGGACCGCGCCCGCCGCCCGGGGAGAAACGACCTCGACTGCAAGGCGTGCTTCGACCTCGCCGGCAAGGAGCAGCGGCGGTGGGTCGGGCAGGGCGGAGACCTCGACTACGACATCGACACCGTGCTGGCGTCCAAACCGCGGGGCACGATACGGATCGGCCTGGACATCGGCGGCGGCACGGGCACGTTCGCGGCGCGCATGGCGGAGCGCGGAGTCACCATGGTGACCACGACCCTGGACCTCGGCGCGCCGTTCGGCGCGTTCGTGGCGTCCCGCGGGCTCGTCCCGCTCCACCTCGGCGCCGTCGCCGGGCGGCTCCCGTTCTTCGACGGCACCCTGGACATCGTGCACTCGATGAACGTGCTCGGCAACTGGGTCCCCGGCGCGGTGCTGGAGGCCGAGCTGTACGACATCTACCGCGTGCTCCGGCCGGGCGGGATATTCTGGCTGGACCACTTCTTCTGCACCGGGAAGGAGCTGACCGGGGTGTACGTGCCCATCATCGAGGGCGTGGGGTTCCGGAAGCTCCGGTGGAACACCGGTAAGAAGCTGGACAAGGGGCCCAACGCCGACGAGTGGTACATCTCGGCTCTGCTCGAGAGGCCCATGATGTGAGAGGACAAAGAGATCCGGAGACGGAGCAGTGCGGTGATGATAGTGTTAACGGGAAGAAGTAATAATGGTAGATGCGATTTGATGTGAAACTGTGTTTTGATGTTTAACTGTTGTTTATTTATTGGGTGTCAGGCATCCTCTTTTATCAATTCAAGTTTGGAATCTTGGAAGATTCAGAACCGCATCGGTGGCCTTTGACTCTGCACTGACACGCTTCTTCGTTGTGTATGGACAGTAGTATGGTGTATGCTAGTTGTTTTCCATATAATAACTGAAAATAAGAACCTCTTGATGTTCTCCCCGTCCAAGCTCGGCAAAGGGTCCGGCAAACAGTGGAGGCCACGACAGTGTCAGTGAACATGATCCGCAGAAAACGCGAAATCAAACAACATTTTGTGTGGCCGAAAACAGAGCTTTTTGAGGAAGGAAGCAGGAATCAGATTGCTGATGCTATGGCAGAACCGAATCAACCTTTCCTGATGTAGAAGATGGGTGACCCCCTTCGGTCCAAAAGGGAAAATGCAAGCCATGTATGACAATCACTTAGAAACTGACATTGACCAAGATGGCTAGCCTAGATGGAGAATGCGATGCGAGGTCAGGAGAGAAGCTGCGCTTCGGAAGTTCAGATGTTTGGGTCGGGTCGGGAGGATGAAGGGGAACCAGGGGGGAGGGGACCTGAGCAGCTAATCTGCCATTGCCAAGCTTCCCTGCTTCAGTAGTTGGCCTTGGCCCTCTCATTCCTAATCGTCTCACCAGACCTAATCCAGCACCGTATCGAATCAAATCTGCGCGATTGGGATTCGTGGATCCAGTATTTCTCCCTTTCAGGTCGATTGGATGAGTCTCCTCTAACTTAAGTCCCCTAGATGGCCTCAAGAATGTCATTGTCGTTGGAATAGTACAACTAAATTTCTGTGTTCAGACCCTAACTCTTGTCTGAGGGCCTGTTTGGAATGCAGGAATTTCGCAGGAATCGCGTAGGAATTTCACGGGAATCAGTTCAATTTCACAGGAAAAACGCAGGAGCAGAAAATATTTCCCGCATTCCAAACATGCCCTGAATCTCTGGATCACGACATTGTATCCGAAGGTTCACAATGTCTCTATCTGGAAGCTTAGCAAGATCATATGGACCGAAACTCGATTGTTCAACTCCTACTGGATATCAGATGAACTTGAACAGACCAAATTTAGTTAGACACTTGGAGGTTGGTTTGTAATATAGCATGACCAGCTATACTATATCTGTCAACGTTAAACAATAAACTCTACTTGGTGTTTCTTGTTTATCTCAATTATTTCAGCTTGGTTTCTTCAAGATGAGTGACATAGACCTTTCATAATCAGTACTCTCTAAATTCCATATTATAAGCCATTTTAGCTATTGGCCCTGTTCGTTTCTCTTATAATCCGTCTTTTTCAGCTTGTTTTTTCAGCCGGAACAGTGTTTCGGCTTGTTTTTTTAGCGAAGCGAACGGGGCCATTCTAGATACGGAATTTTCCTTTCTACTTAAATATACACTACTCCCTCCATCCATCCCATAATATTTGACGTTTTATACTCTCTTACGAAGGCCAATTCAGAAGATAAAAGACCAATACCCCTAAAAAAAGTAGAGATGGAGATGTATTGAAAAAAAAGAAGGAAAAGATATATTGGGAGAGAGAATGCATTGCGAAGTGAGAGTAATAACTATTTGAGACAAAATTTAAATGCTATAAGATTAAGTATTTTGAAACGGAGGAAGTATACCTAGATGTATTATAAATTGTAAAGTAATATATCTAAATCTAAAAAATCAAAACAATCTTATAATTTGGAATGGGAAGAATTTGGAATGGGAAGAGTACGTACGTACTCTACAACAATAATAATACGAATTTGGCGGTTATAAAAAATGAACGTGGAAAAACAAAACCGACCACCTATTGAAACCCTCCTAGTCTACAGTGGACCGGTTCTACTGGCCGTAAATGGACACAGCACGACGAGGACAGCGGCAGCGGCTTTGGCTCTGCGCCGAGCACCCACACAGGGATCAAATAAACCGGGCCCAAATCCTCCCCGAAACGCCAACGAAATTCTCCGCGAGCAAATATAAACCCATTCCTCGCCTTGCTGCAACTCCTCTTCGTCTCCTCCACCCCCCGCTCCCTCTACCACCAGCACCGCGGGACCGCCTGCTCGTCTCGCCGCCGCCCGTCCCCTAGCCGAAACCCTAGCGGCTGCCATTGCCCGCGCGCCACGTGCCCGATGGACGGCGGGGGCTCCGGGCCGGCGCCCAACGCCGCGCGCACCGCGGACGAGGTCTTCCGCGACTACAAAGCCCGCCGCGCCGGCATGATCAAGGCGCTCACCACCGGTACGCCTCCGCTCGCCCCGCCGATTGGGCCTCCTGATTCTGTCCCGGCTTCGTGGATTCGTGCGATTGATGCGGTGTTTTCTCCTGTGCTGTGCAGATGTGGAGAGGTTCTTCAAGCTCTGTGACCCCGGTGAGTGCGCTCGATCTCTTCGGTTCCTCGCCCGGGGATGGAGATTGGGAGCCGAGTAGGCTTCCGTGGTTTTGCTGCTTGGGTTTCGTTGCTTTGGTGGGAGATTGGAAGCTAAATTTGGAGAATTTTCCTCTTTCCCTCACTCGCTCTACACGCTTCGGATTCGAATTATTGGTGGCCTTATAGCTTTCGTTAATGCTGTGCTTGTGCTGGATTGTAGCTTTTCGATTTTGGTGAGAGATTGGGGGCCAAGATGACAGTTTTGTCGAGTGAAAAACGTTTCTTTTCGTGTGTCTGTGTGTGTTGGTTGGAACTGTGGAACTAGTGGCTGCCATTTCTTTTGCTGTTAGGTTGTTAGCACTATGGGTGTTGCCATCAATCTTGTATTCATAGCTTGATTGCAGAAAATCACTAGAGATTTTTGACTGATTGGTGCCATGGGATTATCGACTGTCTACTGCGTGCTTGGTTTCTAGTATATGATTGCTTTGAACTAGTATGCTACTACCTAGTTGTTGGCGCAGTCAATTTACTGGAGTCAGTGACATAATGTGGATAGGTATAGTGATTCAGCAAATCTTTTTCTTCAGTGCATTGATGGCACTGTACGACTGGCTGAATGCGTGGCTGCTTTAGCTGCTTGCCCCTATTCATGTAATTATTATTATTGTGGAGTTTGGTTGCTTCTCATTATTAAATATTATGGCCTGGTCCGCAGTGTTTTCTGCTTCAGCCTTTGCACTCTTGTTTGCAGCAGTGCCCAGTTAGTGTAGAACTAACTACTAAGTTTTGATAGCTACTCGATGATGCCATACCATATCTTGTTATGACTACTAATTCCACTGGTTTTGAACAGAAAAGGAGAACTTGTGCCTTTATGGCTATCCCAATGAGACGTGGGAGGTGACCTTGCCAGCTGAGGAAGTGCCCCCAGAGATCCCTGAACCAGCATTGGGAATCAACTTTGCTAGGGATGGCATGAATGAGAAGGACTGGCTGGCGCTAGTTGCAGTCCACAGTGATTCCTGGTTACTGTCTGTTGCATTCTACTTTGGTGCACGGTTTGGATTTGACAGAGAAGCTAGGTAATTGTTCTGCTATGATTGAACTATGCAGTTTTCATAATCAATCATTGTTGTTTGTTCGTTCCTATGCTGGCATGTTTTAATCTGAATCTGGCATACCAGAAAGTACATATGCATCTAAGTTTACATATTTGTTGAGCATCATTTTCATTTCATGTGGAAATGGCTTCCACCTAAAGTTTGGAAGCAGATTCTTTACACAAGATTTGGTCAATTCCTTGTTACTTTCACACAGTATGACAGTAGTATCTACATTCACAATAGAACATTATTTTGAATGTTGGGATTATAAAACAAGTTATGTCCTGCATATCAGCATATGTTTTAGTGCTGATTGTGTAAAGAAAATGGGATTGCATTTGTGTACTTGGCAAGTTAAGCTAGGTGGAATACTAGAATCACCATATCACTTATCACATATCCTTGTAGTAACTATCGTGGAATTTTTGGGTGATTTCTCCTCCTTCCTTTGGCTATTTTATTATGCTCGTTTTACAATTTTCTCTTCTCATTAAGGAATTTGAATTCCTCTGCTATAATGTGTATAGGAGGTCTGATACTTTAGAAATACCATTTTACTTTTAAAAAAAGCAATTTAACATTTTTTTAATCATACAGTTTGGGTTTCATGTGCAATCATTTCAGCCACTTTCTACAGGTAGCAAATAGGACATGGGAATTATATTTTAGCATAACTGTGCCACCACCTTTGCCCTGACAATCACTGCTTAATAAATGTTGTAATGTAGACTGCATGCCTTCTGTATCATTAAACTTACATCCAGTTCTGTCTTTTCATGTATAAGGCGATAACACTGGTGTTTAGAACAGTAAATATATGCATTAGTGAAAGCGCTCATATAGCAGAATTTGTGTTTGACCCTGCTTCTTAATGCCACAAACGTCACATATTTACAACATCGCATTGTTGCCATTTTCCATAGGAAATTGTTAACCTGTATTTACTGGCTATCAAGTGTCAAATGGAGGGAAAAGCTACAAGTGAATGTAAATGTCACATGTCTGCAGGGATAAATGATGCTAATATTGATTCAATGCTATTAATATTAGGCATATGTTTGGTTAACTACACTGAAATCAACATTACATAAAGTTCCACGATTACCACCTTGTTCATATCCTTGCCGTACTAAACTGGACCTTTCACTCTTTGACCTTGCATTATCGATATGTGGTAGTTACTATTCCCTAGTAATTGGTAAACCAACTATAGGCACACACCTTCACATTGCTGTTTGAATGATGGATTTAATTTGAGAAGTGGAGTTGTTAGCACTCAAGAGTAAATAGTACTCTCTCTTTTTTTTGCGAGGAAGTAAATACTACTTGTTGCTTATTTGGTAACAAACAATATGTGGTTATCTGAGCACGACATGATGCACATTCAGAGATACTCAAATACATTTTGCAAATTTGAATTGTGAAACTGTAAACTGGACATAGAGTGTAAACCATGTTACAGAATTAGTGTAGTTGATTGAAGTAAATTTCATTTTTAGAACCTCTGAAAATTAATGCATAGCAGCTCCCTGGTAGAATGATCAATTCGGAGTATACTGTTAAGAATTAGGTATTGGGTGACTGAATTGTGTAACCTATTGCTTCCCTTTTAGCAATAAACATTATCATTCATTACACTTCATTTGTCCTGTCACCATCAATCATAAAGGCTTTACAACAATTATTTAGCCACTTATTGCATACAGGTGCGAGTGTCTACCATTAGGGGATAGCAACATTAGTTTTAAATAATGATCGATCGCATTGGATAATGGAAGAACAGTAGGACACAAAAGAGAATTTGCTTAATTGGCTGTCAGAAATCTACATAGGCTTGCAGTACATGGATTATTCATGAAAATTGCTAGAGTAAGAGTACATACTAGATTATCTCCCATCCTTAACGAGTATTGTGTAAAAAAGAATCTGTTTTCTTCGCTACTGTTGGTGAGTATGTGGGCCTTGACAAAAAACATACTTTGCATGGCTCTAAGACTTAAACCTAGGCAGGTTGAGCTCTGTTGAACTTTGGCATGTTTAAACTTAAAAGTTTTTTTTGCGCATTTCTATGTTTAGTCACTAGTGGTTGTGCTTGTCTATACCTTTAAAGTTACCTTTCTTATGATGTATTGCAGGAGGCGACTCTTTAGCATGATAAACAACATGCCCACAATATTCGAGGTAGTGACAGGAGCGGTCAAGAAGCAGGCGAAGGAGAAGACACCTAACAGTAGCAGCAAGAGCAACAAGCCTAGTTCAAAAGTGGTAAATGTCAGCCACTTTCTGTTGCCATCCAACCTGGAAATTCTTGCTGATAACATGCCATTGTGTCCGCAGCAGTCAAGAGCAGAGTCTCGTTCAAAGGCTAAGGTTCCCAAAGACGAAGAAGAGAGCGGTGATGACGATGGGGATGAGGAGGCGGAAGAGCACGACAACACCCTGTGTGGAACCTGCGGAACCAACGACGGCAAGGACCAGTTCTGGATCTGCTGCGATAACTGCGAGAAGTGGTACCACGGGAAGTGTGTCAAGATCACGCCTGCCCGAGCTGAGCATATCAAGCAGTACAAGTGCCCGGACTGCACCAACAAGAGGGCCAGGGCGTGAGCGACGAGCATCGCATCGGCGACCTTGCTAGGAAGGAAGAAACCACCTCCTGGCGTCAAGATCCCTAGATATGGCGTAGCTCCCTAGTCTGTAAGCCTGCATTTTCATTCATGGTTATTATTATATCTGTTGATTAGCTGTTCGACCTAGCAGTCTCTAAAACGTGGCATGTCTCCTGTGCTGAGTGTTGACATGGGACCTCCTCCCTCTAGTCTGTAAACGCTGTCACTGAAGGTACCTCTCAACTGACCATTTCTTCATTGTTGGTGTCGTGCAATGAGTAGTGGCCGTAGTCTTTGTTCCCAGTTCCTAGCATCAGCTCGTGGTGTGCGGAGCCAGGATTTGTACTGGTTCTGAATTGCTGAAATGCGTACCTTACTGTGTAAGGATAAGGATGTTGGGAAATGGCGAATAGCATTTCCGTGGATCGAATTTGGTTATCCGAAATCTGTTTTTTTCCCCCTCCATACTATGCTTTGGCTTGCGTGTGCAGAGTATTTGTTGTCTGGGGTGGTCTCTACGCACTTGCGTGATGATTTGATGATGCTGTGCGTTAGGTGAAGATGAATTCGAGGAACGCCCACGCGCCCGGCGTCCGCGAACGGACGGACCGCGCGGTTGGCGGTTGCGTTGTTGCTGCGCGCCATGGCGTTGGGACTTGGGGTTCCTTCCAGCCTTCTAGGGTAACCGCAGCACGCGCGTGCGCTTGGGTGTTACGTACCGCCGTGCACAGAGGGCGACGTCACAGGCTCTCTCGGCAAGGTCGGCAAGTTGAAGTGAACTCGTGGCACGCCGGCGCATCCATCCGGGCAACCGGCGCCCCGCGTGGCCGTGTGACCGTCAGTGCGGTGCTGCTGTGCATGCAGCGCCGTGGCGTTACTCGACTACTCGTGTTGGGCGTGCCCGTGTGCGAGCCGTCGGAGCAATCAGCGTTGTATCCGACTCCGGCTAAGACCGCACCCGCACAAGAGGTTCGTAGTCGCCGATCGCCCTTGCACGCTCGTTCTGCGCACCGCGCATGGCCGTCCGGCGTCCTCGTTCCTACGCACTGGCTTCGCCACAAAAACCTCCACCGTCTGAGCGCATTCGGCGGTTGGCACTGGACAGGGCACACCAGCGAGCACCAGGCGTCCAGCGGTGCAGGCTCCGGGCCGCCGAGCACGCGATTTTTTCCAGACCAAAAAACCCACAAAATTTCCCAATATCTGTCCCGCGGGCCGTGGCCCGGAGACGCCCCACATGGAAAACAGGCCTCCTCGCCTCGTCCGTCCGGCTCCGGGCCGAGCCCATAAAAAATCGTTGCCGTTGCCATATCAGATCAACTCCACCATGGACCCCATTTGGGACCTCCGGTGACGCTCCGCCCACCGCCGCCCGCCCCGCCCGGAAATGGCTCGAGCGCTGCTCCTGCTGCGAGTAGCCCGCTACCCTCCTCTCCCGACCTCACCCGCGCTCCTCCAGCCGCGTCTCCTGCCGCAGCCGCTGCCGCTGCTCCGCCGCCACGCGCCCTCCCAGTACCAGTCCCAGCTCCGCTTCCTCTCCTCCCTCTCCCCCTCGTCCGTGTCCACCAGCTCAGATGCTCCCCGCGACGGCGGGAGCGGCCGCGACGGAGAAGAGGATGGCGCGAAGAGCGGAGGCCACGTCGACTACTTGGGGATGAGTGACGAGGAGCTCATGGAGCAGTGCGACATGGGCACGTTCAAGGCGTCCGGCCCCGGCGGCCAGCACCGCAACAAGCGCGAGTCCGCCGTTCGGCTGAAGCACCTTCCCACCGGCATCATCGCCCAGGTCGGTAGCGTTGCTGTGTTAGCTTTCCATTCTCAGTTACCTCGATCACTTCATACAATGATTCATGTGTTCCTAGAAATTGAATGAATAGAAGGTTGGATGAACGCAATCACGAATCAGCTGAACTTCACACAAACTGAATGCTTAAATTTTTTGGCCCAGTTTCTTGTATTGCCTAGGTGCAGCCATTTCTTACTTTCTTATGTTATTATAGTAGTAGAAAATTAGAACTAGTTCTTTCCTTCTGCATGCTAATATATTTTATTCACTTTTATCTATATTTCAGGTGCCTGATTTTTTGTTGTTGTTCAGGCAACATTTAATTTCTTGTTATTTGGCTATAGAAAAAAAATGTGAATTGTCTCTTGTAAGTTATTGTTTTCATTGTACTAGTTGGTTGTGTAAGATTGTTGCCTGAAAATTATAGCAACTCCCCTATTTTATTTGTAAAATTGCACACAGGCTGTGGAGGATCGGTCACAACATAAGAACCGAGCGTCTGCTTTATCTCGGCTTCGAACCCTGATTGCTCTTAAAGGTAAAAGAATCTAATGTTCTCCAAGTTATGCTTTGTTTCAGAAAAGGAACTATAGATCAGTTCAACTAATTCAAGAACCATCTAAGATTATGCCTCATTGCCTCCAAATATATTACCATGAGTTGCATATAAATAAGTGGTCTTTTAAGAAACTTCGCTTCCATTTTAAGTCCTCATGCCGCCTGATGGTTTTAAGTTCCATGATCATTAAAGATGTGGTTCTGTCAGTTAGGAGGCCGATAAACCTGGAGGACTACACTCCACCTGTTGAGCTTCTTCAGATATTACCCCCGAAGTCCACCGTCCGAGGAAAAGACATTGGCCCCCAGATTGGTCCAAATAACTCAAAATTTTCTCCAGTATGCTCCTGTTTTAATAAGTCAACGCCTAATGCATTATGCATGTGTTTTGCTGTCCTTGGTCCTTGCTATTTACATATTTAAACACCTCCCTTTGTACTTTGTTTACCACTGGGCAGGGAATGCAAGCTTTATTAGATCTGCTGTTTGCTGTTGAAGGTTCTGTATCAGATGCAGCAAAGATTTTAGGGTAATACGTTACTACCATATTCTACTCTTGCACACAGATGCTAGATGGCAGCATGTATATTCGCTATAGTTTTACATTCAGGCCACCTGATAGTTATCTCAGTGAACTATGACTGTAATGCAGCCTAAGCACTGGTGCTTTGTCAAGACTGATTCTGTCAGATGATTCTCTCCGAACGGCCGCAAATGAACTGCGAGCTTCAAAGGTAACCATGCAAATATGTGGCCACAAATGCCTATTCATTGACTAGAGGATAGCACATTCCAAACTTTAGGCTCTAAAATCTGAGTCCCAGGAAAAGCACGTATCACATAGTACCTAGGGTACTAAGCTAAGATGTTACTATGAGGTCCTTGCCTAAACAGACCGCTGGTGATAGTGAGGTGCCCAGGTCCATTACGTTGTCTTATACCCTACAGTACTTTAACAAAGAAATTTTAAGCACATTAGATGGCTAGTAATTCCACATTAATGTTACACGCCTTGATTGCCACTTGAGCAATCTTTACATGCAAGTACAATGTACAAGCACCATCCACCCATATCCAGGACAAGTCACCCCATTTCTACAAATATTAGAGTAAACATAGGCTAATTATGTTATGGCATCCTTAAGTTCTGAGTGTTGAACAAGCTTTAAAGATTATTCATTTCACTAATTTCCTACATACAATACCCTAATTACAAATACATCATCATAACTGTTTTATCTTTCTCTGCAGGGACTGAAACCTCTGAGGTGAAATCCTTTGTAAAATTCTCAGCTTCAAGTGCACCATATCCCATAGGTGCCAAGTTCCACAGAAGTGAGCCGCCATGATTTCTAGGGAAAACCTTCGGGGTCTGATGCTGTTTGTGAGGAATGTTCATCATCATTTGGATTGCCGTAAATATGGTCAGTAGGCAGTTAGTATCTCTTCCTTGTTCTTCAACAGGGGAACACCACTGAACCATTTTTTCCTCGAGGAATCTTCCTGTCAACCACTAACTCGTATTTGCTAGCCAAAAGTTGTTGAGGCGGCTGTGCTGAATCGCTGATTGAATTGGCTGTAACTACCTCATGGGTATACAATTGCCTTATAATTTGTTTTTTTTTTATCAGCGTTTGATGATGCTTTTAACAAATTGGAGCTCTTAAATTCAAATGCACCATGGATTTGTTTTTAGATTCCATTGCCATTGCGTGAAAACTGAAATTATAACCATAGCTCGAGCTCCAGTTCTTCCGCCAAAGCATGAACTCAGCAGAAAGCGTGACCATTTTTCCATTGATATAGAAAGAATGATAGAATGTTTACAAAGAGGTCAGCTATGTCGTGTATGAGCTCCATAATTATTTCCGTTTTCAAAACTGTAGAAGTGTGGATGAATGCCGTACTACAAAATCGTACTTGTCTGTAAAATCAGGCAAACAGTTAATTTTGCCTATCAGCTCTACTTCTGATTCATCAGGCGCTCAGCCAGTAGCAAGTCATCAGGAGTTGTCACCTGCAATAAATTCACATTTCACAGCTCTCTTCAAATTAAGCAGTTCAGAACATTATAGTTCAGATATTATTCTGGAATACCTTAATGTTTGTATAAGAGCCTTCCGTGATATAGACAGGGTGTTTTAGATATTCTACAATGGATACGTCATCAGTGACTTCAAGGCCATCCCTGCGATGGCAAAATTAAATCAGCTAGAGAACTGAGCAGTATAACAATATCATAAATTTAATTTACCCGAGCTGAACTAAAGCTAACCGTTTAACAAGCTCAAAACCATCTCTGAGTAAATTGGGCTTCATAACCTACAGCCAGAAAACACGCTATTATAAGTTGTGGTTCCTCAAAAAGAAACCAAAAAAAGAAAAAAAAAGTTTTTTTGGCCTGTGGGAACAGGGAAACAAACAAGAAACATAGAAAGAGGTAATAGTATGATTACCTGTGGAGTTTGCATTTCCCAGAGAGTTTTCCGGTCAAGAGTTTTTACGACAAAAGAATCACTATTGGCCTGAAGGGGATATGGAAAGGAATGTTATATCCCATCCAGAATGCTATTATGTGGATGATAGTTGCATAGCAAGAAGTAAACATAAGATTGATTGGGCAATTCTATTTGCACAATCATATCGACACATCATCTAGATGGCAATAACACTTACCTCCTTTATTGTAGCTTTCACAGGCACACCAAGAACAGCTGCTCCATGTACTGCAGCATCTTCTAAGACCTAGTCAGTAAAATCAAAATCAATATTATTGCTTGAATAAACTGCAAAGCACTTGTAGCTATCCTTTTTTTCCCTCTAGAAAGCACAAAAAAACCCTGCAGTTTTCAGGAAATGCACTTCCTATGAAATATGAAAAAGAAACAGCAGGATTCAATAAGAAACTCCAGAACTACTCTCAGGGTAGCGCAAAAAATGTTAAAGCTGGATCAGTTATTTGGCAATATTCCAAGCAGTCAATGTATAGTAGATCTGCAGTAAATATAAGTTGCAACTTGCAGGGGATATAATTCATGCTGCATCATGGACAACAGGAGTAACCTTTTTTACATCTTCAGAAGAAACTAAGGGCCTTGCAGAATCATGGACACAGATTAGTTCTGAATCCCCATCAATTTCCTGCAAACAAACAACACACAAGATCTCAACGATATTTATGCAGAGCAGCAGAAGGAGCAATAGATACAAGCAGTTTGCAACCGACCTGAAGTCCATTGAAAACTGAGTCCTGTCTCTCTTTTCCTGGGCGTGCAAATTTAAGAGGTATTTGCTGGTCCGCGATAGAACCTATGGTAATGAATAACAATTTAAGACAACTCACTCAGAGTCACTAGTGTGTCATGGTTTGAATGTAGTCATAGAAATTGTGTCTAATACATTTTAGATAAAAAAATATTGCTATTTGCTACCTTCAAATACATCGCTGTAGTCTGGATCACACACCACCACGACTTCTTTGACTTCCTTTAGTTCACAGAATGTTTTTAAACTGTGGATAAAATGTAAGGATTCCTGTGTCCACATCACCGCAAGACTTGACGAATTCGAAAATTTTATGCTAGAGAGAGGAACCTGTGCAACGCAATTGGTAGTCCCAGTAGAGGTAGATACTGCTTTGGCATACTTGCCTGTTAAAAAAGAGGGGCAAAATTTAGACGGCGGTCAAGCATTGGAAAGGCACACGAAGTTCGCAGGTAGCTAATGCAAATTTTTTACATTGCTCAGTGAAACATTTCGCTGCAATTCAGCTACATTGTTAGCAACAATAATGACTTTTTTTTGCTTAACTCGATTCATTTGTTCAATAGAGCACACAACCTTGATGCATTATGTTTCTTGTACTTTAAATTAGAGTGTTGTTCAAATGCCCCAATATCAGTGACTGAAGAACTGAATTGTTATGGTGATCTTATTGTCCCCAAAGCGATCAAACTGGTGAACCTAACCCGAACCAACGCACAGTAACTAGAGAGCATGCCCTTGCGCTGTTGCGACCAGAAACTGAACACAGGTTTGAAGCAGAAGAGACATGATACCCCCATTCTCTTTCCCTGTCCTCCAGACAAGAGGATCACCGAGACGCTCCTCTCCTTCACAGCCACACCCTGGCGAAAAAAGGTTCATGTCAGTGGGTCCCCTTTTAGTCAACAGCGCACGCTCCCCGCGGCTTCGGATAGCCACCGCACCAGCTCGCCGTCGGCTATGGAAGCTCTGATTGCCGGATTCGAACGCCTCGTGTGCCGCCTAAGAGCAACCCCGTAGATCCCACCTGACCACAAGCCGCAGCAAAATGAGGTCTCTCTCAGTGTAGTAGCATCTACCAGCAAGGCAGCAATCCAGTGTAGTAGCATCTACGAACAATCCAATCGGAATTCACTTGAATTTTTTCACACAGATGGCTGAGAGTGGCCCAGCATTTGAACGGCGCGAACTCCTAAACAAACGGAGAAGTGGCTCAAACAATCCTTACCCGTCCGAAGGCGGCGGGAGGCTGGGAGCACCGCGGGCGCCAGGAAAGGCGGTGGCGGTAGCGTCACGGCAGGAGGGAGGCGCGCGTGGAGGCGGAGCTCCATCTCGGAGACGCTGGCCGCTGCGAACGCGAGCCCGAGGGGAGCGATGGTGGCTGGTAGTGACGATGGTCTACAGAGAAGCGACAAAGGGTGGACGCCAGGCCGGAATGGAGGCGGAGACTGCAGCATCGCCTGTGCGTTATGCGCTTCGGTCAATCCACGCCGTCCACATTTCCCCGTCACATGTACTCTCTCCATTTGAAAAAAAGAGTTGCATTGGATTTAAAGATTCCGTGTAGATCAAACTTTATTAAATTTGACTATTTTATAAATACTTAAATAGATATAAGAATATTTGTATCGTGCTCTGTAGACTATACTACTCCATACTCCCTCCGTACCAAATAATAAATTTGTTTTGAGTTTATTGATACTCCATTTATCCTAAATTATAAGTCATTCTAATTTTCTTAGGGAGTCAAAACATCTTAAGTTTGATTAAAATTATAGAGAGAATTAAAAAAAATACAGCATTTAATACGCATACTACGAAAATATAATCAATGAAGAATCTAATGATACTTATTTGGTATTATAGTGTTATTATTTTATTGTATAAATTTAGTCAAACTCGAGAGGGCTTAAGTCTCCAAGAAAGTTAAAATAACTTATAATTTATGATGGAGGGAGTACATAGTTTTTCTATATAACTAAATACATAATATGTCTTAGATATATAATAAAACATCCTATAATTTTTCTATGCGTATAGAAATATCAAAACAGTCTATAAATTTAAACAGAGGTAGTAATTGTTTCATACTCCCTTCGTCCAAAAATAAAATATAATTCTTGATTTTGATTTACATATCTATATAAATAAAATACTAGCATCTGTAGTACCGAATAAGCATCATTAGTTTAAGTATAAAGTATATATAATAGTAAAACTATTTGAAGTTCTAAAAATTTGACTAAATTTGAGAAATATCATTTACTCAAAATAAAAACTATATTTTCTTTAGAACAAATGTAGTGTTATTATATAAAAATCGTAGGAAGTATTTTGGTTAGGGGCCGGTGGTGTTTGAGGCTGCGTGATTTTCACATCGTATGTGCGGTAACTTTGGTTTTCAAAGTTTGATTAAAAACTCTAAATTGCTTGGGTATTCAATGCATTGTAAACCATAGCCCGTTTTCATCGGAAGCAACATAATGCGCTTCTCCAGTCCTCTGCAGACGCCGTCACATATAGGATGAGTGGATGACAAAAGTATTCAACATGTGTTAAACCATATAAAAGCCATGTAAAAGGACGATCGAATTTCTTTCCACGTGTGATGGAATTCAGCGAGGTCCACCTTGGCGTACAATGTGGGTCGTCCAAAGCAAGGTGCCAATCATAAGAAAATGCACCGGCAATCGTATTCAAGCGCCATCAAGGAACTTGACTGACTCAGAAGTCAGAAGAATCGTTTTGTTTGCAAGACTTCGTCGTGCTTTCCTCGGGATCATCATGCCTTGTTTTAATCGGCTGTCAAGCGGTCAAGCCTCGTCTCTAGCACAGTACCGAACACACCCCACACCTGCTCACCGACGGAGGGGCTCGGAGGACAGGCCTGACAAACATAACTACACAAATAAAAGTTCACAATAATACAGCAGTGGTAAATATCCACGCCAGTAAGACGCATCAACACAAAGAAGGCTTCAGTTATTACGGAGCATGTATGTACAAGGTTTGAAGAAGCCATCGACGACATGAGTGATGACTCTTCACTGAGAAACTGGAATTTACTAAGGGCGCTAAGTTAGAAGAGAAGAGGATGAACAACTCTCAAGTGCCGCAAGTCAGCAAAGTGGCGGAAAAAGAAATTCAAAACAACTCCAAAGACTTCCAAACAAGAAGCTCCGCAGCCGACCAACACGGACGGGAAACAAGTTACAGCAGGAATGGCTACACCAAATCTGATACAGCAGCAAACATAAATACAAGCTCTAGTCTGTGCAGTTAGCAGTTTGAAGTCACCCTCGTTGAGCCCTTTACTCACGAGTCACGAACCAGCGCACCACCACCTATCCACTGCATGTTTTATTATATGTTCAGGCATTCTTCCTGTTTATGTCGACAAATTCAAACAGAAACGATCGAAACTGGAAGTGAACGTGCACCCTACGAGGTCTAGACACGACAAAGATGGAACTTACAAATTGTAGAACTCTGGCTCTTCCTGGAATTTGGCAGCTTCAGATTGAAGGTTCACTGATTCACACCTAGTGCTGGGCACCCAACATATGTTAGTTCAGCTCCTAAGAACTGAGCATCCCGTCTCGTTAGAAAAGCTAGTTTTACAAACATGAGATTGGTATGATCTCATCGATATTAAACTGAAACAGTACATTCATTGTGGTTTTGCCGCACATAATCGAGCCTTGCCAGGGTTGAGCAGAGATTCTGACATTATCCAACCCTGAAACACAAAACACAATGTGGTTGGTTGTCACTGTCAGAACTAACACGGATATATAATGGTTATCATAAAGATTGGGAGTTTTACCTGTTCCCTTGCTTTCTTCTTGAATGTTCCATATGACGAGGAAACAATTTTGCAAGATTCAGCGATGTGCGCCAGAAATCCATGTTTCTAGAGTACAGATGCTCTGATCGGTCGGGGTTTGCCTGCTTCTGCTTCTGCTTCAGCCTCCGTGCATGTGATGCATTAATAAAATGCAGTAGCACATGAGCCTGCGCAGCAGAAACGCATTGAGTATATGGGTAACGAAACCAAAACATATATACCAATTACATCGCAGTGAGAAACAAATGCTTACATGGAAAGCGGCTTTGATAATGTCGTCTGATTTTGCTTGGTCCTTGAGCAAAGCATATACTTTATCCTTTGTTGGATTATATGTTACCATGTATCTCTCATCCTATAATTAAGATACCAAATGTTAGTCATACCAAAAGAACAAATGCAAAAATTACTTCACATATATGATAGCACAGAGTAGTTTCTGGATATGTTTTTTAATTGATGGTGCCCAGAGAGGGCGTACCTCAAACAGAGGTCTTATGGCAAGAAATGAAGCTGGCTCTTGAAATGCTTCTCCAAATCTTGAACCTGAAATACAGTTGAAATAGAATATAAAAAACTTTCACCAATATCTCAAGAAAGGAACACCATTTGAATAACACTTGCAATTGCACAAACCTATTGCGACTGGCTCATGCCGCCAAGGTGGATTAAATATCGTCTCCTGTGAATTTCCTTCCTTCAAGGAGGGAATGTGACCTGCATCATAGAAAATTAAAGATTCAAGAACTTGATAAATACAATTCAAAATTTCGAGTTAATACTTCTAGAGATGAAAAGTCGGAAACAAGTTTCATGCTTGGAATAAGACTGAACTATGTACGAATGAAAAAGGAAAATAAGATGTGTTTTAAAATCTTTGGACTCCATTTTCAGTATGCATCTTCTATAGATCCATAGCACTGCAGCATCGCATTTAAAAAATAAGCAAATTTTCCTACAAGTTTCAGCATTGATCAAAAGAATCTTAGGTACTAGCTTTTATATATGATATATAAAGCCCTACAGTTTTCAAATGAAATACCACTTCAATGGTCCAAAGAACAATTGAATATGGACCCACCAAGCAGGTATTTTAGCACTTTCCAGAACAATTCGAACATAAGTTTTCAAGTTTGACCTACCAGTTTTAATGAAAGAATCCACTGCGACGGTAAACCTCGCCCTGTTTAGGGTATTCAGCACAACAGATCTCACCTATATCTATATAAATAAAATACTAGCATCTGTAGTACCGAATAAGCATCATTAGTTTAAGTATAAAGTATATATAATAGTAAAACTATTTGAAGTTCTAAAAATTTGACTAAATTTGAGAAATATCATTTACTCAAAATAAAAACTATATTTTCTTTAGAACAAATGTAGTGTTATTATATAAAAAATCGTAGGAAGTATTTTTGGTTAGGGGCGGTGTGTGTTTGAGGCTCATGATTTTCACATCGTATGTGCGCGTAACTTTGGTTTTCAAAGTTTGATTAAAACTCTAAATTGCTTGGGTATTCAATGCATTGTAAACCATAGCCCGCTTTCATCGGAAGCAACATAATGCGCTTCTCCAGATCCTCTGACAGCCTTCGTCACATATAGGATGAGTGGATGACAAAAGTATTCAACATGTGTTAAACCATATAAAAGCCATGTAAAAGGACGATCGAATTTCTTTCCACGTGTGATGGAATTCAATGAGGTCCACCTTAGCGCACAATGTGGGTCGTCCAAAGCAAGGTGCCAATCATAAGAAAATGCACCGGCAATCGTATTCAAGCGCCATCAAGGAACTTGACCGACTCGAAGTCGTCAAGAATCGCTTTTGTTTGCAAGACTTCGTCGTGCTTTCCTCGGGATCATCATGCCTTGTTTTAATCGGTACTGCAAGCGGTCAAGCCTCTCGTCTCTAGCACAAGATCAACACACCCCACACCTGCCACCGACGGAGGGGCTCGGAGGACAGGCCCGACAAACATAACTACACAAATAAAAGTTCACAATAATACAAAGAAGGTAAATATCCACGCCAAGAAGACGATCAACACAAAGAAGGCTTCAGTTATTACGGAGCATGTATGTACAAGGTTTGAAGAAGCCATCGACGACATGAGTGATGACTCTTCACCGAGAAACCGGAATTTACTAAGGGCGCTAAGTTAGAAGAGAAGAGGATGAACAACTCTCAAGTGCCGCAAGTCAAGAAAGTGGCGGAAAAAAAATTCAAAACAACTCCAAAGACTTCCAAACAAGAAGCTCCGCAACACCAACACGGACGGAAACAAGTTACTGGCGAGGAATGGCTACACCAAATCGACACTGAGAAGACAAACATAAATACAAGCTCTAGTCCAATGCAAAGAGCGGTTTGAAGTCACCCTCGTTGAGCCCTTTACTCACGAGTCACGAACCAAATACACCACCACCCATCCACCGCATGTTTTATTATATGTTCAGGCATTCTTCCTTTATGTCGACAAATTCAAATGAAACGATCGAAATCGGAAGTGAACGTGCACCCTACGAGGTCTAGACACGACAAAGATGGAACTTACAAATTGTAGAACTCGCTCTTCCCGGAATTTGGCGACTTGATTGAAGGTTCACTGATTCACACCTAGTGCCGGGCACCCAACATATGTTAGTTCAGCTCCTAAGAACCGAGCATCCCGTCTCGTTAGAAAAGCTAGTTTTACAAACATGAGATTGGTATGATCTCATCGATATTAAACCAAAACAAAGACATTCATTGTGGTTTTGCAAGCACATAATCGAGCCTTGCCGGTTGTTGAGCGAGAGATTCTACATTATCCAACCCTCAAACACAAAACACAATGTGGTTGGTTGTCACCGCTCGAACTAACACGGATATATAATGGTTATCATAAAGATTGGGAGTTTTACCTGTTCCCTTGCTTTCTTCTTGAATGTTCCATATGACGAGGAAACAATTTTGCAAGATTCAGCGATGTGCGCCAGGAAATCCATGTTTCTAGAGTACAGATGCTCGATCGGTCGGGGTTTGCTCGCTACGCTTCGCTTGACCTCCGTGCATGTGATGCATTAATAAAATGCAAGAGCACATGAGCTCAAGCAGTGAAACGCATTGAGTATATGGGTAACGAAACCAAAACATATATACCAATTACATCGCAGTGAGAAACAAATGCTTACATGGAAAGCGGCTTTGATAATGTCGTCTGATTTTGCTTGGTCCTTGAGCAAAGCATATACTTTATCCTTTGTTGGATTATATGTTACCATGTATCTCTCATCCTATAATTAAGATACCAAATGTTAGTCATACCAAAAGAACAAATGCAAAAATTACTTCACATATATGATAGCACAGAGTAGTTTCTGGATATGTTTTTTAATTGATGGTGCCCAGAGAGGGCGTACCTCAAACAGAGGTCTTATGGCAAGAAATGAAGCTGGCTCTTGAAATGCTTCTCCAAATCTTGAACCTGAAATACAGTTGAAATAGAATATAAAAACTTTCACCAATATCTCAAGAAAGGAACACCATTTGAATAACACTTGCAATTGCACAAACCTATTAAGATCGCTCATGCCGCCAAGGTGGATTAAATATCGCCTCCTGTGAATTTCCTTCCTTCAAGGAGGGAATGTGACCTGCATCATAGAAAATTAAAGATTCAAGAACTTGATAAATACAATTCAAAATTTCGAGTTAATACTTCTAGAGATGAAAAGTCGGAAACAAGTTTCATGCTTGGAATAAGACCGAACTATGTACGAATGAAAAGGAAAATAAGATGTGTTTTAAAATCTTTGGACTCCATTTTCAGTATGCATCTTCTATAGATCCATAGCACTGCAGCATCGCATTTAAAAAATAAGCAAATTTTCCTACAAGTTTCAAAGATTGATCAAAAGAATCTTAGGTACTAGCTTTTATATATGATATATAAAGCCCTACAGCTTTTCAAATGAAATACCACTTCAATGGTCCAAAGAACAATTGAATATGGACCCACCAAGCAGGTATTTTAGCACTTTCCGAACAATTCAACATAAGTTTTCAAGTTTGACCTACCAGTTTAATGAAAGAATCCACTGCGACGGTAAACCTCATACTGTTTAGGTATTCAAAGACAACAGATCTCACCTATATCTATATAAATAAAATACTAGCATCATAGTAAATTTAATAAGCATCATTAGTTTAAGTATAAAGTATATATAATAGTAAAACTATTTGAAGTTCTAAAAATTTGACTAAATTTGAGAAATATCATTTACTCAAAATAAAAACTATATTTTCTTTAGAACAAATGTAGTGTTATTATATAAAAATCGTAGGAAGTATTTTTGGTTAGGGGGGTGGTGGTGTTTGAGGTCATGCGTGATTTTCACATCGTATGTGCGGTAACTTTGGTTTTCAAAGTTTGATTAAAAACTCTAAATTGCTTGGGTATTCAATGCATTGTAAACCATAGCCCGCTTTTCATCGGAAGCAACATAATGCGCTTCTCCACCTCTGCCGCAGACGCCACACATATAGGATGAGTGGATGACAAAAGTATTCAACATGTGTTAAACCATATAAAAGCCATGTAAAAGGACGATCAATTTCTTTCCACGTGTGATGGAATTCAGCGAGGTCCACCTTGGCGCATAAATGTGGGTCGTCCCAAAGCAAGGTGCCAATCATAAGAAAATGCACCGCAATCGTATTCAAGCGCCATCAAGGAACTTGACCGACTCGTAAGTCAAGAATCGTTTTGTTTGCAAGACTTCGTCGTGCTTTCCTCGGGATCATCATGCCTTGTTTTAATCGGTACATCAAGCGGTCAAGCCTCTCTGCCTCTAGCACAAGATCAACACACACACCCACACCTGCTCACCGACGGAGGGGCTCGGAGGACAGGCCCGACAAACATAACTACACAAATAAAAGTTCACAATAATACAAAGAAGGGTAAATATCCACGCCAAGAAGACGATCAACACAAAGAAGGCTTCAGTTATTACGGAGCATGTATGTACAAGGTTTGAAGAAGCCATCGACGACATGAGTGATGACTCTTCACCGAGAAACTGGAATTTACTAAGGGCGCTAAGTTAGAAGAGAAGAGGATGAACAACTCTCAAGTGCCGCAAGTCAAAGAAAGTGGCGGAAAAAGAAATTCAAAACAACTCCAAAGACTTCCAAACAAGAAGCTCTGGCACCACCAACACGGACGGGAAACAAGTTACAAAGGAATGGCTACACCAAATCTGATCATGAAGAAACAAAAATAAATACAAGCTCTAGTCTCATGCAAGAGCAGCTTGAAGTCACCCTCGTTGAGCCCTTTACTCACGAGTCACGAACCAATACGCACCACCTATCCACTGCATGTTTTATTATATGTTCAGCATTCTTCCCGCTTATGTCGACAAATTCAAATGTAAACGATCGAAATCGGAAGTGAACGTGCACCCTACGAGGTCTAGACACGACAAAGATGGAACTTACAAAATTGTAGAACTCGCTCTTCCCGGAATTTGGCGACTTTCAGATTGAAGGTTCACTGATTCACACCTAGTGTTGGGCACCCAACATATGTTAGTTCAGCTCCTAAGAACTCGAGCATCCCGTCTCGTTAGAAAAGCTAGTTTTACAAACATGAGATTGGTATGATCTCATCGATATTAAACTGAAACAAAGACATTCATTGTGGTTTTGCCGCACATAATCGAGCCTTGCCGTGGTTGAGCGTAGATTCTCGACATTATCCAACCTCAAACACAAAACACAATGTGGTTGGTTGTCACCGCTGAACTAACACGGATATATAATGGTTATCATAAAGATTGGGAGTTTTACCTGCTTCCTTGCTTTCTTCTTGAATGTTCCATATGACGAGGAAACAATTTTGCAAGATTCAGCGATGTGCGCCAGAAATCCATGTTTCTAGAGTACGATGCTCGATCGGTCGGGGTTTGCTCGCTTACTTCGCTTTCACCTCCGTGCATGTGATTTGCATTAATAAAATGCAAGAGCACATGAGCTCACGCAGCAGCAGTAAACGCATTGAGTATATGGGTAACGAAACCAAAACATATATACCAATTACATCGCAGTGAGAAACAAATGCTTACATGGAAAGCGGCTTTGATAATGTCGTCTGATTTTGCTTGGTCCTTGAGCAAAGCATATACTTTATCCTTTGTTGGATTATATGTTACCATGTATCTCTCATCCTATAATTAAGATACCAAATGTTAGTCATACCAAAAGAACAAATGCAAAAATTACTTCACATATATGATAGCACAGAGTAGTTTCTGGATATGTTTTTTAATTGATGGTGCCCAGAGAGGGCGACCTCAAACAGAGGGTCTTATGGCAAGAAATGAAGTCAGCTCTTGAAATGCTTCTCCAAATCTTGAACCTCAAATACAGCTTGAAATAGAATATAAAAAACTTTCACCAATATCTCAAGAAAGGAACACCATTTGAATAACACTTGCAATTGCACAAACCTATTGCGATCGCTCATGCCGCCAAGGTGGATTAAATATCGCCTCTCGTGAATTTCCTTCCTTCAAGGAGGAATGTGACCTGCATCATAGAAAATTAAAGATTCAAGAACTTGATAAATACAATTCAAAATTTCGAGTTAATACTTCTAGAGATGAAAAGTCGGAAACAAGTTTCATGCTTGGAATAAGACCTAACTATGTACGAATGAAAAAGGAAAATAAGATGTGTTTTAAAATCTTTGGACTCCATTTTCAGTATGCATCTTCTATAGATCCATAGCAATCTGCAAAGATCGCATTTAAAAAATAAGCAAATTTTCCTACAAGTTTCAAAGATTGATCAAAAGAATCTTAGGTACTAGCTTTTATATATGATATATAAAGCCCTACAGTTTTCAAATGAAATACCACTTCAATGGTCCAAAGAACAATTGAATATGGACCCACCAAGCGGTATTTTAGCACTTTCCGAACAATTCGAACATAAGTTTTCAAGTTTGACCTACCAGTTTTAATGAAAGAATCCACCGCGACGGTAAACCTGCGCCTGTTTAGGGTATTCAAAGACAACAGATCTCACCTATATCTATATAAATAAAATACTAGCATCTGTAGTAAATTTAATAAGCATCATTAGTTTAAGTATAAAGTATATATAATAGTAAAACTATTTGAAGTTCTAAAAATTTGACTAAATTTGAGAAATATCATTTACTCAAAATAAAAACTATATTTTCTTTAGAACAAATGTAGTGTTATTATATAAAAATCGAGGGAAGTATTTTGGTTAGGGGCGGTGGTGTTTGAGGTCGTGATTTTCACATCGTATGTGCGGTAACTTTGGTTTTCAAAGTTTGATTAAAAACTCTAAATTGCTTGGGTATTCAATGCATTGTAAACCATAGCCCGTTTTCATCGGAAGCAACATAATGCGCTTCTCCAGTCCTCTCTGCAGACGCCACATATAGGATGAGTGGATGACAAAAGTATTCAACATGTGTTAAACCATATAAAAGCCATGTAAAAGGACGATCAATTTCTTTCCACGTGTGATGGAATTCAATGAGGTCCACCTTGGCGCATACAATGTGGGTCGTCCAAAGCAAGGTGCCAATCATAAGAAAATGCACCGCAATCGTATTCAAGCGCCATCAAGGAACTTGACCGACTCGTAAGTCGGAAGAATCGTTTTGTTTGCAAGACTTCGTCGTGCTTTCCTCGGGATCATCATGCCTTGTTTTAATCGGTCATCAAGCGGTCAAGCCTCTCGCCTCTAGCACAAGACGAACACACCCCACACCGCCACCGACGGAGGGGCTCGGAGGACAGGCCCGACAAACATAACTACACAAATAAAAGTTCACAATAATACAAAGAAGGGTAAATATCCACGCCAAGAAGACGATCAACACAAAGAAGGCTTCAGATACGAGAGCATGTATGTACAAGGTTTGAAGAAGCCATCGACGACATGAGTGATGACTCTTCACCGAGAAACCTGGAATTTACTAAGGGCGCTAAGTTAGAAGAGAAGAGGATGAACAACTCTCAAGTGCCGCAAGTCAAGAAAGTGGCGGAAAAAGAAATTCAAAACAACTCCAAAGACTTCCAAACAAGAAGCTCCATGACCGACCAACACGGACGGAAACAAGTTACAAAGCAGGAATGGCTACACCAAATCGATATGAAGAAGAAACATAAATACAAGCTCTAGTCTGCAGGCAAGAGCGGTTTGAAGTCACCCTCGTTGAGCCCTTTACTCACGAGTCACGAACCAAATAAGCACCACCTATCCACTTCGCATGTTTTATTATATGTTCAGCATTCTTCCCGCTTATGTCGACAAATTCAAACGAAACGATCGAAATCGGAAGTGAACGTGCACCCTACGAGGTCTAGACACGACAAAGATGGAACTTACAAATTGTAGAACTCGCTCTTCCCGGAATTTGGCGACTTCAGATTGAAGGTTCACCGATTCACACCTAGTGTCGGGCACCCAACATATGTTAGTTCACTCCTAAGAACCGAGCATCCCGTCTCGTTAGAAAAGCTAGTTTTACAAACATGAGATTGGTATGATCTCATCGATATTAAACTGAAAACAAAGACATTCATTGTGGTTTTGCCGCAGACATAATCGAGCCTTGCTGTGGTTGAGCAGAGATTCTCGACATTATCCAACCCTCAAACACAAAACACAATGTGGTTGGTTGTCACCGCCGAACTAACACGGATATATAATGGTTATCATAAAGATTGGGAGTTTTACCTGCTCCCTTGCTTTCTTCTTGAATGTTCCATATGACGAGGAAACAATTTTGCAAGATTCAGCGATGTGCGCCAGAAATCCATGTTTCTAGAGTATGATGCTTCGATCGGTCGGGTTTGTTCGCTTCGCTTCGCCTTCAGCCTCCGTGCATGTGATGCATTAATAAAATGCAAGAGCACATGAGCTCATGCAAGCAAGAAACGCATTGAGTATATGGGTAACGAAACCAAAAACATATATACCAATTACATCGCAGTGAGAAACAAATGCTTACATGGAAAGCGGCTTTGATAATGTCGTCTGATTTTGCTTGGTCCTTGAGCAAAGCATATACTTTATCCTTTGTTGGATTATATGTTACCATGTATCTCTCATCCTATAATTAAGATACCAAATGTTAGTCATACCAAAAGAACAAATGCAAAAATTACTTCACATATATGATAGCACAGAGTAGTTTCTGGATATGTTTTTTAATTGATGGTGCCCAGAGAGGGCGTACCTCAAACAGAGGTCTTATGGCAAGAAATGAAGCTGGCTCTTGAAATGCTTCTCCAAATCTTGAACCTGAAATACAGTTGAAATAGAATATAAAAAACTTTCACCAATATCTCAAGAAAGGAACACCATTTGAATAACACTTGCAATTGCACAAACCTATTACGATCGCTCATGCCGCCAAGGTGGATTAAATATCGCCTCCTGTGAATTTCCTTCCTTCAAGGAGGGAATGTGACCTGCATCATAGAAAATTAAAGATTCAAGAACTTGATAAATACAATTCAAAATTTCGAGTTAATACTTCTAGAGATGAAAAGTCGGAAACAAGTTTCATGCTTGGAATAAGACTGAACTATGTACGAATGAAAAAGGAAAATAAGATGTGTTTTAAAATCTTTGGACTCCATTTTCAGTATGCATCTTCTATAGATCCATAGCACTGCAGCATCGCATTTAAAAAATAAGCAAATTTTCCTACAAGTTTCAGCATTGATCAAAAGAATCTTAGGTACTAGCTTTTATATATGATATATAAAGCCCTACAGTTTTCAAATGAAATACCACTTCAATGGTCCAAAGAACAATTGAATATGGACCCACCAAGCAGGTATTTTAGCACTTTCCAGAACAATTCGAACATAAGTTTTCAAGTTTGACCTACCAGTTTTAATGAAAGAATCCACTGCGACGGTAAACCTCGCCCTGTTTAGGGTATTCAGCACAACAGATCTCACCTATATCTATATAAATAAAATACTAGCATCTGTAGTACCGAATAAGCATCATTAGTTTAAGTATAAAGTATATATAATAGTAAAACTATTTGAAGTTCTAAAAATTTGACTAAATTTGAGAAATATCATTTACTCAAAATAAAAACTATATTTTCTTTAGAACAAATGTAGTGTTATTATATAAAAATCGTAGGAAGTATTTTGGTTAGGGGCCGGTGGTGTTTGAGGCTGCGTGATTTTCACATCGTATGTGCGGTAACTTTGGTTTTCAAAGTTTGATTAAAAACTCTAAATTGCTTGGGTATTCAATGCATTGTAAACCATAGCCCGTTTTCATCGGAAGCAACATAATGCGCTTCTCCAGTCCTCTGCAGACGCCGTCACATATAGGATGAGTGGATGACAAAAGTATTCAACATGTGTTAAACCATATAAAAGCCATGTAAAAGGACGATCGAATTTCTTTCCACGTGTGATGGAATTCAGCGAGGTCCACCTTGGCGTACAATGTGGGTCGTCCAAAGCAAGGTGCCAATCATAAGAAAATGCACCGGCAATCGTATTCAAGCGCCATCAAGGAACTTGACTGACTCAGAAGTCAGAAGAATCGTTTTGTTTGCAAGACTTCGTCGTGCTTTCCTCGGGATCATCATGCCTTGTTTTAATCGGTCATCAGCGGTCAAAGCTCTCGCCTCTAGCACAAGATCAACACACCCCACACCGCCACCGACGGAGGGGCTCGGAGGACAGGCCCGACAAACATAACTACACAAATAAAAGTTCACAATAATACAAAGAAGTGGTAAATATCCACGCCAAAGAAGACGATCAACACAAAGAAGGCTTCATTATTACGAGCATGTATGTACAAGGTTTGAAGAAGCCATCGACGACATGAGTGATGACTCTTCACCGAGAAACTGGAATTTACTAAGGGCGCTAAGTTAGAAGAGAAGAGGATGAACAACTCTCAAGTGCCGCAAGTCAAGAAAGTGGCGGAAAAAGAAATTCAAAACAACTCCAAAGACTTCCAAACAAGAAGCTCCATGAAATTGACCAACACGGACGGAAACAAGTTACAAAGAGAATGGCTACACCAAATCTGACATGACAGCAAACATAAATACAAGCTCTAGTCTCATGCAAGTGGCAGCTTGAAGTCACCCTCGTTGAGCCCTTTACTCACGAAGTCACGAACCAACAGCACCACCTATCCACTTTGCATGTTTTATTATATGTTCAGCATTCTTCCTGCTTATGTCGACAAATTCAAACGAAACGATCGAAATCGGAAGTGAACGTGCACCCTACGAGGTCTAGACACACGACAAAGATGGAACTTACAAATTGTAGAACTCGGCTCTTCCCGGAATTTGGCGACTTGATTGAAGGTTCACTGATTCACACCTAGTGCTTTGGCACCCAACATATGTTAGTTCAGCTCCTAAGAACCGAGCATCCCGCCTCGTTAGAAAAGCTAGTTTTACAAACATGAGATTGGTATGATCTCATCGATATTAAACTCAAACAAAGACATTCATTGTGGTTTTGCCGCACATAATCGAGCCTTGCTGTGGTTGAGCAGAGATTCTCGACATTATCCAACCCCAAACACAAAAACACAATGTGGTTGGTTGTCACCGTCGTAACTAACACGGATATATAATGGTTATCATAAAGATTGGGAGTTTTACCTGCTCCTTGCTTTCTTCTTGAATGTTCCATATGACGAGGAAACAATTTTGCAAGATTCAAATGATGTGCGCCAGAAAATCCATGTTTCTAGAGTATGATGCTCGATCATCGGGTTTTGCTCGCTTCGCTTACCTTCACCTCCGTGCATGTGATGCATTAATAAAATGCAAGAGCAGCACATGAGCTCATGCAGCAGTAAACGCATTGAGTATATGGGTAACGAAACCAAAACATATATACCAATTACATCGCAGTGAGAAACAAATGCTTACATGGAAAGCGGCTTTGATAATGTCGTCTCGATTTTGCTTGGTCCTTGAGCAAAGCATATACTTTATCCTTTGTTGGATTATATGTTACCATGTATCTCTCATCCTATAATTAAGATACCAAATGTTAGTCATACCAAAAGAACAAATGCAAAAATTACTTCACATATATGATAGCACGTAGTAGTTTCGGATATGTTTTTTAATTGATGGTGCCCAGAGAGGGCGACCTCAAACAGAGGTCTTATGGCAAGAAATGAAGTCGGCTCTTGAAATGCTTCTCCAAATCTTGAACCTGAAATACAGCTTGAAATAGAATATAAAAAACTTTCACCAATATCTCAAGAAAGGAACACCATTTGAATAACACTTGCAATTGCACAAACCTATTGCGATCGCTCATGCCGCCAAGGTGGATTAAATATCGCCTCCTGTGAATTTCCTTCCTTCAAGGAGGGAATGTGACCTGCATCATAGAAAATTAAAGATTCAAGAACTTGATAAATACAATTCAAAATTTCGAGTTAATACTTCTAGAGATGAAAAGTCGGAAACAAGTTTCATGCTTGGAATAAGACCTGAACTATGTACGAATGAAAAGGAAAATAAGATGTGTTTAAAATCTTTGGACTCCATTTTCAAAGTATGCATCTTCTATAGATCCATATAGCACTCAGCAAAGATCGCATTTAAAAAATAAGCAAATTTTCCTACAAGTTTCAAAGATTGATCAAAAGAATCTTAGGTACTAGCTTTTATATATGATATATAAAGCCCTACAGCTTTTCAAATGAAATACCACTTCAATGGTCCAAAGAACAATTGAATATGGACCCACCAAGCAGGTATTTTAGCACTTTCCGAAACAATTCGAACATAAGTTTTCAAGTTTGACCTACCAGCTTTTAATGAAAGAATCCACTCGCGACGGTAAACCTCGCATACTGTTTAGGGTATTCAAGACAAATGAGATCTCACCTATATCTATATAAATAAAATACTAGCATCTCAGAAAATTTAATAAGCATCATTAGTTTAAGTATAAAGTATATATAATAGTAAAACTATTTGAAGTTCTAAAAATTTGACTAAATTTGAGAAATATCATTTACTCAAAATAAAACTATATTTTCTTTAGAACAAATGTAGTGTTATTATATAAAAATCGAGGAAGTATTTTGGTTAGGGCCGGTGGTGTTTGAGGTCATGTGATTTTCACATCGTATGTGCGGTAACTTTGGTTTTCAAAGTTTGATTAAAAACTCTAAATTGCTTGGGTATTCAATGCATTGTAAACCATAGCCCGCTTTCATCGGAAGCAACATAATGCGCTTCTCCGGTCCTCTCCGAGACGCCAATCACATATAGGATGAGTGGATGACAAAAGTATTCAACATGTGTTAAACCATATAAAAGCCATGTAAAAGGACGATCGAATTTCTTTCCACGTGTGATGGAATTCAATGAGGTCCACCTTATGCGTACAATGTGGGTCGCCCAAAGCAAGGTGCCAATCATAAGAAAATGCACCGCAATCGTATTCAAGCGCCATCAAGGAACTTGACCGACTCACTCGTGTCGGAAGAAATCGCTTTTGTTTGCAAGACTTCGTGTGCTTTCCTCGGGATCATCATGCCTTGTTTTAATCGGTACATCAAGCGGTCAAGCCTCTCTGCCTCTAGCACAAGATCAACACACCCCACACACCGCTCACCGACGGAGGGGCTCGGAGGACAGGCCCCGACAAACATAACTACACAAATAAAAGTTCACAATAATACAAAGAAGGGTAAATATCCACGCCAAAGAAGACGATCAACACAAAGAAGGCTTCATTTATTACGGAGCATGTATGTACAAGGTTTGAAGAAGCCATCGACGACATGAGTGATGACTCTTCACCGAGAAACTGGAATTTACTAAGGGCGCTAAGTTAGAAGAGAAGAGGATGAACAACTCTCAAGTGCCGCAAGTCAAAGAAAGTGGCGGAAAAAGAAATTCAAAACAACTCCAAAGACTTCCAAACAAGAAGCTCCGCAACCGACCAACACGGACGGGAAACAAGTTACAGCAGAAATGGCTACACCAAATCGATCAAAGAAAGAAACATAAATACAAGCTCTAGTCCATGCAAGAGAGCGGTTTGAAGTCACCCTCGTTGAGCCCTTTACTCACGAGTCACGAACCAAATAGCACCACCTATCCACTTTGCATGTTTTATTATATGTTCAGGGCATTCTTCCTGCTTATGTCGACAAATTCAAATGAAACGATCGAAACTGGAAGTGAACGTGCACCCTACGAGGTCTAGACACGACAAAGATGGAACTTACAAATTGTAGAACTCGCTCTTCCCGGAATTTGGCGCCTTGATTGAAGGTTCACTCGATTCACACCTAGTGTCGGGCACCCAACATATGTTAGTTCAGCTCCTAAGAACCGAGCATCCTGTCTCGTTAGAAAAGCTAGTTTTACAAACATGAGATTGGTATGATCTCATCGATATTAAACCGAAACAAAGACATTCATTGTGGTTTTGCCACACATAATCGAGCCTTGCCGTGGTTGAGCAGAGATTCTCGACATTATCCAACCTCAAACACAAAACACAATGTGGTTGGTTGTCACCGCCGAACTAACACGGATATATAATGGTTATCATAAAGATTGGGAGTTTTACCTGCTCCCTTGCTTTCTTCTTGAATGTTCCATATGACGAGGAAACAATTTTGCAAGATTCAGCGATGTGCCAGAAATCCATGTTTCTAGAGTACGATGCTCGATCGGTCGGGGTTTGCTCGCTCGCTTCGCGCTTGACCTCCGTGCATGTGATGCATTAATAAAATGCAAGAGCACATGAGCTCATGGCAGCAGTAAACGCATTGAGTATATGGGTAACGAAACCAAAACATATATACCAATTACATCGCAGTGAGAAACAAATGCTTACATGGAAAGCGGCTTTGATAATGTCGCCTGATTTTGCTTGGTCCTTGAGCAAAGCATATACTTTATCCTTTGTTGGATTATATGTTACCATGTATCTCTCATCCTATAATTAAGATACCAAATGTTAGTCATACCAAAAGAACAAATGCAAAAATTACTTCACATATATGATAGCACGTAGTAGTTTCGGATATGTTTTTAATTGATGGTGCCCAGAGAGGGCGACCTCAAACAGAGGTCTTATGGCAAGAAATGAAGTCGGCTCTTGAAATGCTTCTCCAAATCTTGAACCTGAAATACAGCTTGAAATAGAATATAAAAAACTTTCACCAATATCTCAAGAAAGGAACACCATTTGAATAACACTTGCAATTGCACAAACCTATTAAGGACCGGCTCATGCCGCCAAGGTGGATTAAATATCGCTCCTGTGAATTTCCTTCCTTCAAGGAGGAATGTGACCTGCATCATAGAAAATTAAAGATTCAAGAACTTGATAAATACAATTCAAAATTTCGAGTTAATACTTCTAGAGATGAAAAGTCGGAAACAAGTTTCATGCTTGGAATAAGACCGAACTATGTACGAATGAAAAAGGAAAATAAGATGTGTTTTAAAATCTTTGACTCCATTTTCAGTATGCATCTTCTATAGATCCATAGCACCGCAAAGATCGCATTTAAAAAATAAGCAAATTTTCCTACAAGTTTCAAAGATTGATCAAAAGAATCTTAGGTACTAGCTTTTATATATGATATATAAAGCCCTACAGCTTTTCAAATGAAATACCACTTCAATGGTCCAAAGAACAATTGAATATGGACCCACCAAGCAGGTATTTTAGCACTTTCCGCAACAATTCAACATAAGTTTTCAAGTTTGACCTACCAGCTTTAATGAAAGAATCCACCGCGACGGTAAACCTCATACTGTTTAGGGTATTCAACTGTGATCTCACCTATATCTATATAAATAAAATACTAGCATCTCAGAAAATACCGAATAAGCATCATTAGTTTAAGTATAAAGTATATATAATAGTAAAACTATTTGAAGTTCTAAAAATTTGACTAAATTTGAGAAATATCATTTACTCAAAATAAAACTATATTTTCTTTAGAACAAATGTAGTGTTATTATATAAAAATCGTAGGGAAGTATTTTGGTTAGGGGCCGGTGGTGTTTGAGGTCATGTGATTTTCACATCGTATGTGCGGTAACTTTGGTTTTCAAAGTTTGATTAAAAACTCTAAATTGCTTGGGTATTCAATGCATTGTAAACCATAGCCCGCTTTCATCGGAAGCAACATAATGCGCTTCTCCAGATCCTCTGCAGACGCCACATCACATATAGGATGAGTGGATGACAAAAGTATTCAACATGTGTTAAACCATATAAAAGCCATGTAAAAGGACGATCGAATTTCTTTCCACGCAGTGATGGAATTCAACGAGGTCCACCTTGGCATACAATGTGGGTCGTCCAAAGCAAGGTGCCAATCATAAGAAAATGCACCGCAATCGTATTCAAGCGCCATCAAGGAACTTGACCGACTCAAGTCGGAAAGAATCGCTTTGTTTGCAAGACTTCGTCGTGCTTTCCTCGGGATCATCATGCCTTGTTTTAATCGGTCATCAAGCGGTCAAGCCTCTCGCCTCTAGCACAAGATCAACACACCCCCACACCCGCTCACCGACGGAGGGGCTCGGAGGACAGGCCCGACAAACATAACTACACAAATAAAAGTTCACAATAATACAAGCGGTGGTAAATATCCACGCCAAGAAGACGATCAACACAAAGAAGGCTTCAGCTTATTACGGAGCATGTATGTACAAGGTTTGAAGAAGCCATCGACGACATGAGTGATGACTCTTCACCGAGAAACTGGAATTTACTAAGGGCGCTAAGTTAGAAGAGAAGAGGATGAACAACTCTCAAGTGCCGCAAGTCAAAAAGTGGCGGAAAAAGAAATTCAAAACAACTCCAAAGACTTCCAAACAAGAAGCTCCGCAGACCACCAACACGGACGGGAAACAAGTTACAAAGCAGAATGGCTACACCAAATCGATATGAAAGCAAACATAAATACAAGCTCTAGTCTGTGGCAAGAGCGGTTTGAAGTCACCCTCGTTGAGCCCTTTACTCACGAGTCACGAACCAAATAAGACCACCTATCCACTTCGCATGTTTTATTATATGTTCAGCATTCTTCCCTGCTTATGTCGACAAATTCAAACAAAACGATCGAGAATCGGAAGTGAACGTGCACCCTACGAGGTCTAGACACGACAAAGATGGAACTTACAAATTGTAGAACTCGCTCTCTTCCCGGAATTTGGCGCCTTGATTGAAGGTTCACTGATTCACACCTAGTGCCGGGCACCCAACATATGTTAGTTCAGCTCCTAAGAACCGAGCATCCCGTCTCGTTAGAAAAGCTAGTTTTACAAACATGAGATTGGTATGATCTCATCGATATTAAACTCAAACAAAGACATTCATTGTGGTTTTGCCGCACATAATCGAGCCTTGCTGTGGTTGAGCGTAGATTCGACATTATCCAACCTCAAAACACAAAACACAATGTGGTTGGTTGTCACCGTCGTAACTAACACGGATATATAATGGTTATCATAAAGATTGGGAGTTTTACCTGCTCCTTGCTTTCTTCTTGAATGTTCCATAACGAGGAAACAATTTTGCAAGATTCAAATGATGTGCGCCAGAAATCCATGTTTCTAGAGTACGATGCTCGATCGGTCGGGTTTGCTCGCATACCGCTTCGCTTCACCTCCGTGCATGTGATGCATTAATAAAATGCAAGAGTAGCACATGAGCTCGCTTGCAGCAGTAAACGCATTGAGTATATGGGTAACGAAACCAAAACATATATACCAATTACATCGCAGTGAGAAACAAATGCTTACATGGAAAGCGGCTTTGATAATGTCGTCTGATTTTGCTTGGTCCTTGAGCAAAGCATATACTTTATCCTTTGTTGGATTATATGTTACCATGTATCTCTCATCCTATAATTAAGATACCAAATGTTAGTCATACCAAAAGAACAAATGCAAAAATTACTTCACATATATGATAGCACGAGTAGTTTACGGATATGTTTTTAATTGATGGTGCCCAGAGAGGGCGTACCTCAAACAGAGAGGTCTTATGGCAAGAAATGAAGTGGCTCTTGAAATGCTTCTCCAAATCTTGAACCTCAAAATACAGCTTGAAATAGAATATAAAAAACTTTCACCAATATCTCAAGAAAGGAACACCATTTGAATAACACTTGCAATTGCACAAACCTATTACGACTGGCTCATGCCGCCAAGGTGGATTAAATATCGCCTCCTGTGAATTTCCTTCCTTCAAGGAGGGAATGTGACCTGCATCATAGAAAATTAAAGATTCAAGAACTTGATAAATACAATTCAAAATTTCGAGTTAATACTTCTAGAGATGAAAAGTCGGAAACAAGTTTCATGCTTGGAATAAGACTGAACTATGTACGAATGAAAAGGAAAATAAGATGTGTTTTAAAATCTTTGGACTCCATTTTCAGTATGCATCTTCTATAGATCCATAGCAATCAAGAAAAGATCGCATTTAAAAAATAAGCAAATTTTCCTACAAGTTTCAAATTGATCAAAAGAATCTTAGGTACTAGCTTTTATATATGATATATAAAGCCCTACAGTTTTCAAATGAAATACCACTTCAATGGTCCAAAGAACAATTGAATATGGACCCACCAAGGTGTATTTTAGCACTTTCCGAACAATTCAACATAAGTTTTCAAGTTTGACCTACCAGTTTTAATGAAAGAATCCACCGCGACGGTAAACCTCATACTGTTTAGGGTATTCAAAGACAACAGATCTCACCTATATCTATATAAATAAAATACTAGCATCTCAGAAAATCGAATAAGCATCATTAGTTTAAGTATAAAGTATATATAATAGTAAAACTATTTGAAGTTCTAAAAATTTGACTAAATTTGAGAAATATCATTTACTCAAAATAAAAACTATATTTTCTTTAGAACAAATGTAGTGTTATTATATAAAAATCGTAGGAAGTATTTTTGGTTAGGGGCGGTGGTGTTTGAGGTCTGCGTGATTTTCACATCGTATGTGCGGTAACTTTGGTTTTCAAAGTTTGATTAAAAACTCTAAATTGCTTGGGTATTCAATGCATTGTAAACCATAGCCCGCTTTTCATCGGAAGCAACATAATGCGCTTCTCCAGGTCCTCTGCAGACGCCACACATATAGGATGAGTGGATGACAAAAGTATTCAACATGTGTTAAACCATATAAAAGCCATGTAAAAGGACGATCAATTTCTTTCCACGTGTGATGGAATTCAATGAGGTCCACCTTGGCGTATAATGTGGGTCGTCCAAAGCAAGGTGCCAATCATAAGAAAATGCACCGCAATCGTATTCAAGCGCCATCAAGGAACTTGACCGACTCGAAGTCAAGAATCGCTTTGTTTTGCAAGACTTCGTCGTGCTTTCCTCGGGATCATCATGCCTTGTTTTAATCGGTACATCAAGCGGTCAAGCCTCTCGCCTCTAGCACAAGATCGAACACACCCCACACCGCTCACCGACGGAGGGGCTCGGAGGACAGGCCCGACAAACATAACTACACAAATAAAAGTTCACAATAATACAAAGAAGGGTAAATATCCACGCCAAGAAGACGCATCAACACAAAGAAGGCTTCAGTTATTACGGAGCATGTATGTACAAGGTTTGAAGAAGCCATCGATTTACATGAGTGATGACTCTTCACCGAGAAACTGGAATTTACTAAGGGCGCTAAGTTAGAAGAGAAGAGGATGAACAACTCTCAAGTGCCGCAAGTCGCCAAAGTGGCGGAAAAAGAAATTCAAAACAACTCCAAAGACTTCCAAACAAGAAGCTCATGAACCGACCAACACGGACGGGAAACAAGTTACAAAGCAGAATGGCTACACCAAATCGACATGAAGAAGCGAAAACATAAATACAAGCTCTAGTCTGCATGCAAGAGGCAGCTTGAAGTCACCCTCGTTGAGCCCTTTACTCACGAGTCACGAACCAAATAGCACCACCTATCCAATCGCATGTTTTATTATATGTTCAGCATTCTTCCTGCTTATGTCGACAAATTCAAACGAAACGATCGAGAATGGAAGTGAACGTGCACCCTACGAGGTCTAGACACGACAAAGATGGAACTTACAAATTGTAGAACTCGCTCTTCCCGGAATTTGGCGACTTTCAGATTGAAGGTTCACTGATTCACACCTAGTGTCGGGCACCCAACATATGTTAGTTCAGCTCCTAAGAACCGAGCATCCTGTCTCGTTAGAAAAGCTAGTTTTACAAACATGAGATTGGTATGATCTCATCGATATTAAACTGAAAACAAAGACATTCATTGTGGTTTTGCCGCACATAATCGAGCCTTGCTGTGGTTGAGCGGAGATTCTCGACATTATCCAACCCCAAACACAAAACACAATGTGGTTGGTTGTCACCGCTGAACTAACACGGATATATAATGGTTATCATAAAGATTGGGAGTTTTACCTGCTCCCTTGCTTTCTTCTTGAATGTTCCATATGACGAGGAAACAATTTTGCAAGATTCAAATATGTGCGCCAGAAATCCATGTTTCTAGAGTACGATGCTCGGATCGGTCGGGTTTGCTTACATTCTCGCTTGACCTCCGTGCATGTGATGCATTAATAAAATGCAAGAGCACATGAGCTCAAGCAGCAGTAAACGCATTGAGTATATGGGTAACGAAACCAAAACATATATACCAATTACATCGCAGTTGAGAAACAAATGCTTACATGGAAAGCGGCTTTGATAATGTCGTCTGATTTTGCTTGGTCCTTGAGCAAAGCATATACTTTATCCTTTGTTGGATTATATGTTACCATGTATCTCTCATCCTATAATTAAGATACCAAATGTTAGTCATACCAAAAGAACAAATGCAAAAATTACTTCACATATATGATAGCACGTAGTAGTTTCGGATATGTTTTTAATTGATGGTGCCCAGAGAGGGCGTACCTCAAACAGAGGTCTTATGGCAAGAAATGAAGCTGGCTCTTGAAATGCTTCTCCAAATCTTGAACCTGAAATACAGTTGAAATAGAATATAAAAACTTTCACCAATATCTCAAAGAAAGGAACACCATTTGAATAACACTTGCAATTGCACAAACCTATTATGACTGGCTCTCATGCCGCCAAGGTGGATTAAATATCGCTCTCGTGAATTTCCTTCCTTCAAGGAGGGAATGTGACCTGCATCATAGAAAATTAAAGATTCAAGAACTTGATAAATACAATTCAAAATTTCGAGTTAATACTTCTAGAGATGAAAAGTCGGAAACAAGTTTCATGCTTGGAATAAGACCTGAACTATGTACGAATGAAAAAGGAAAATAAGATGTGTTTTAAAATCTTTGGACTCCATTTTCAGTATGCATCTTCTATAGATCCATAGCACTGCAAAGCATCGCATTTAAAAAATAAGCAAATTTTCCTACAAGTTTCAGCATTGATCAAAAGAATCTTAGGTACTAGCTTTTATATATGATATATAAAGCCCTACAGTTTTCAAATGAAATACCACTTCAATGGTCCAAAGAACAATTGAATATGGACCCACCAAGCAGGTATTTTAGCACTTTCCGAACAATTCGAACATAAGTTTTCAAGTTTGACCTACCAGTTTTAATGAAAGAATCCATCATGACGGTAAACCTCATACATTTAGGGTATTCAAGACAATGAGATCTCACCTATATCTATATAAATAAAATACTAGCATCTGTAGTACCGAATAAGCATCATTAGTTTAAGTATAAAGTATATATAATAGTAAAACTATTTGAAGTTCTAAAAATTTGACTAAATTTGAGAAATATCATTTACTCAAAATAAAAACTATATTTTCTTTAGAACAAATGTAGTGTTATTATATAAAAATCGTAGGAAGTATTTTGGTTAGGGGCCGGTGGTGTTTGAGGCTGCGTGATTTTCACATCGTATGTGCGGTAACTTTGGTTTTCAAAGTTTGATTAAAAACTCTAAATTGCTTGGGTATTCAATGCATTGTAAACCATAGCCCGTTTTCATCGGAAGCAACATAATGCGCTTCTCCAGTCCTCTGCAGACGCCGTCACATATAGGATGAGTGGATGACAAAAGTATTCAACATGTGTTAAACCATATAAAAGCCATGTAAAAGGACGATCGAATTTCTTTCCACGTGTGATGGAATTCAGCGAGGTCCACCTTGGCGTACAATGTGGGTCGTCCAAAGCAAGGTGCCAATCATAAGAAAATGCACCGGCAATCGTATTCAAGCGCCATCAAGGAACTTGACTGACTCAGAAGTCAGAAGAATCGTTTTGTTTGCAAGACTTCGTCGTGCTTTCCTCGGGATCATCATGCCTTGTTTTAATCGGCTGTCAAGCGGTCAAGCCTCTCGTCTCTAGCACAGTACCGAACACACCCCACACCTGCTCACCGACGGAGGGGCTCGGAGGACAGGCCTGACAAACATAACTACACAAATAAAAGTTCACAATAATACAGCAGTGGTAAATATCCACGCCAGTAAGACGCATCAACACAAAGAAGGCTTCAGTTATTACGGAGCATGTATGTACAAGGTTTGAAGAAGCCATCGACGACATGAGTGATGACTCTTCACTGAGAAACTGGAATTTACTAAGGGCGCTAAGTTAGAAGAGAAGAGGATGAACAACTCTCAAGTGCCGCAAGTCAGCAAAGTGGCGGAAAAAGAAATTCAAAACAACTCCAAAGACTTCCAAACAAGAAGCTCCGCAGCCGACCAACACGGACGGGAAACAAGTTACAGCAGGAATGGCTACACCAAATCTGATACAGCAGCAAACATAAATACAAGCTCTAGTCTGTGCAGTAGCAGTTTGAAGTCACCCTCGTTGAGCCCTTTACTCACGAGTCACGAACCAGCGCACCACCTATCCACTGCATGTTTTATTATATGTTCAGGCATTCTTCCTGTTTATGTCGACAAATTCAAACAGAAACGATCAGAAACTGGAAGTGAACGTGCACCCTACGAGGTCTAGACACGACAAAGATGGAACTTACAAATTGTAGAACTCTGGCTCTTCCTGGAATTTGGCAGCTTCAGATTGAAGGTTCACTGATTCACACCTAGTGCTGGGCACCCAACATATGTTAGTTCAGCTCCTAAGAACTGAGCATCCCGTCTCGTTAGAAAAGCTAGTTTTACAAACATGAGATTGGTATGATCTCATCGATATTAAACTGAAACAGTACATTCATTGTGGTTTTGCCGCACATAATCGAGCCTTGCCAGGGTTGAGCAGAGATTCTGACATTATCCAACCCTGAAACACAAAACACAATGTGGTTGGTTGTCACTGTCAGAACTAACACGGATATATAATGGTTATCATAAAGATTGGGAGTTTTACCTGTTCCCTTGCTTTCTTCTTGAATGTTCCATATGACGAGGAAACAATTTTGCAAGATTCAGCGATGTGCGCCAGGAAATCCATGTTTCTAGAGTACAGATGCTCTGATCGGTCGGGGTTTGCCTGCTTCTGCTTCTGCTTCAGCCTCCGTGCATGTGATGCATTAATAAAATGCAGTAGCACATGAGCCTGCGCAGCAGAAACGCATTGAGTATATGGGTAACGAAACCAAAACATATATACCAATTACATCGCAGTGAGAAACAAATGCTTACATGGAAAGCGGCTTTGATAATGTCGTCTGATTTTGCTTGGTCCTTGAGCAAAGCATATACTTTATCCTTTGTTGGATTATATGTTACCATGTATCTCTCATCCTATAATTAAGATACCAAATGTTAGTCATACCAAAAGAACAAATGCAAAAATTACTTCACATATATGATAGCACAGAGTAGTTTCTGGATATGTTTTTTAATTGATGGTGCCCAGAGAGGGCGTACCTCAAACAGAGGTCTTATGGCAAGAAATGAAGCTGGCTCTTGAAATGCTTCTCCAAATCTTGAACCTGAAATACAGTTGAAATAGAATATAAAAAACTTTCACCAATATCTCAAGAAAGGAACACCATTTGAATAACACTTGCAATTGCACAAACCTATTGCGACTGGCTCATGCCGCCAAGGTGGATTAAATATCGTCTCCTGTGAATTTCCTTCCTTCAAGGAGGGAATGTGACCTGCATCATAGAAAATTAAAGATTCAAGAACTTGATAAATACAATTCAAAATTTCGAGTTAATACTTCTAGAGATGAAAAGTCGGAAACAAGTTTCATGCTTGGAATAAGACTGAACTATGTACGAATGAAAAAGGAAAATAAGATGTGTTTTAAAATCTTTGGACTCCATTTTCAGTATGCATCTTCTATAGATCCATAGCACTGCAGCATCGCATTTAAAAAATAAGCAAATTTTCCTACAAGTTTCAGCATTGATCAAAAGAATCTTAGGTACTAGCTTTTATATATGATATATAAAGCCCTACAGTTTTCAAATGAAATACCACTTCAATGGTCCAAAGAACAATTGAATATGGACCCACCAAGCAGGTATTTTAGCACTTTCCAGAACAATTCGAACATAAGTTTTCAAGTTTGACCTACCAGTTTTAATGAAAGAATCCACTGCGACGGTAAACCTCGCCCTGTTTAGGGTATTCAGCACAACAGATCTCACCTGTTAATCAACAATATCAAATTATTAATCATAGAGTTCCAGTTTTTTACAAAACTCTGAAGCAATACACTAGAGGAATGAAAGTGAACCTCTTGATATGAACTCAGGAGATATCCACAGGATAGGAAGGCAAATGAAGTCACCAGTGAGGGATTCCTTTTTGAGATAAAAATACTCAGACCAGTACCAAGCTTCAGGTGTAATAAACAAAAAGGAGTCAGTATAGCTGATAAATCATGTTAACATATGAGAACAATAACATTCGAAAGCAAGCAGAAGACATTAGTGCGGTGAAAAGGCAAACCAAATTTTGTCAAACATGAGCACCTTATACTAACAAAAGAAAGGGTGTTTCTTGAATATGTTAATTTGGCATGCCACCATGCAACAAGAATGATTTAGAGGTAACAGCATGATTAATTGATTTTTACCAGATCTGCAATGTTCCCAACAGATTCGCCTTTAGCAGTGACATCTCCAATGTTTTCTCCTCTCGCATAGGCCTTATAGATTGGAGTGCGAGTTGAAGTTGACGTAACAGCAGCGACATTCTATATGTTGCATGAAACAGAAAGGATGTTCTTCATCAATATTGTTAAAACAGAATAAGTCCAATTTGAAAATGCAGGTGCAGGTGAGGGCAAACCTTTACAACATTGGCTACACAAGCCATAGGCAAGAAAAACTGAGGGAATGCAGCAGTAGTTAATTCTATCCCAGCTCCTATTTCCAGCAACAGATCACTAGTGTACCGTAACTGCGTATGATTTTTGTTTCAGTTCGTTTCCGTTATTGATATATATTATGGAACCAATAAATTGGAAGTGGATATTGAAAAAAGTGAACGGCGTGTTTACCTGCTTTAGGTCATAGTCAAACTTCTTTCCTTGACGTGCAAAAAGCATTTTTCCGACTCGCCCAGCACCATCCTGTGGTACAGCCGTACAGGTACAATGACAACCATATTACAGGCTATGACATCCACATGATTCTAAGCATTAAAGTTTGGTATAGTAGGAGAACAGAGTACGTGTTAATATGGCTAATATCTTGTGTGGAAAAGAAAATATAGTTAATGAAGGGTATTCTCTCTTATTGTTTTGAATACATTATGCAGACTAGATGGTGAACAAGAGAAATGAGAGCTCCTGAATGGACATAATATTTTTACCTTGAGGATCCAGTTGATAGCAATGGCACCTGGTGTCACCTTGCTTTGAGAGACTCCAACAGAACTCAGCAAGGTTCTTGTTGTAAACACCCCCATCGCTCCACCAAAGAAGTGCTGAATAATGAACAAACCATTAAGTTTCAATTGATTTTTAGAATACCAGTAAAAGCTGACTGTTGAACATAAGTTCCACAAAATACCTTCAGAGCCCTCCAAGTCATGTAAGGTACATATGAAGGAGTAACACTGTCTGGAAACCCTTCAGGCACGACATACGATCTTATGAATGCCATTATTTCCTGCAACAATATTCCACAGTATATTTCATTTTTTAAGGTTCTTAATTATGATCACTTGGAACAAATAAGCTTAAATTTCCACATGCCATTAAACAAAGTCCAGGACTATTGAGAATAAAAGGTCGAGGCAAGCATGAATTCCATTCCATTTTTTCAAAACTTGGAACATAACGTAGCGCCAAAATTAATAGTAACACAAGTCGTTATCATATTAAGTTGGAAGTAATTTTCCCAGCACTAGATAAAAATAAATGAGGCTCCAACAATCAAGTGGCTGAGAGCCTGAGGCCAACATCTCTCACTTATCTAGGCTTTTTGCATAGGGACCAACGTAGTGAGACCAATAAATCTCACATCTAAATCAACCCAAGTTTCCAATTCTCTACAGTTCACGAGAACCAACTAAAACAAAAAAATAATAATTCACAGCCTCGGAATTCACGACCACAACTAACTTCCCCAATTTCGTGTCAACTTACCTCGAAATTACCGGGGCTACTCCAATTTTAGTGTGCATCGTCCTATGAACGGGTGAACACATCTATCACAACCCTTGTGCATATGCATACCGATTAGATCAATACCCAAATATCGAATCAGCAATCTGATATATGACTTCTATTTACAAAAACCAATTGAACAAACACCCTAGCAAACAATCCAATCCAATTGCTCAAAAACCGCAAACAATTCTCCCAAATCAAACGCTCGTAACCGCAGCAGAGCCATTTTGCGAACCGTAACCAACACCAAACCTAACAGGAAGCCACAATTCCAAGCAGCTGCTCACCTCGGCAGGCGGAAGCGGCGACTGCAGCGGCACGGCCCTGACGGAGGCCCCAGCGGGGACAGCGGCCCCGCCCCTACCCTTCCCCTTCGCGGCCCCGCCGTCCACCACGTAGCTCCACCGCCTCCCGTCCACCTCCTCCAGGCACAGGAACCCCTGCAGCGCCGCGGCGGGCGCCGGCTTCTCCGAGGCCACCGGCGCCTCGGCGGGCTGCGACGGGATCGTGGACCGCATGACATCGCGCACAGCCAGCCGCGTCTCGGGCGGCGGCAGAGTGATGGTCTGCGTGGCGGAACGCTTGAGCCCCACCGCTGGCGCCATGGCTGCCGCGTCCGGCGGACGGAGGCGACGCCGAGGCCGAGACCGAGGCGTAGTCAGGTGGGCGGAAGAAAAAATACTTGGCGAGTGGTCGCGATGGGCGCTGGCAGTGGTTAGAGAGAGAGGAGAGAGTTATAAAAGGCGGACGACGCGAACAATGCCAAGATACAGAGGAGGCGAGCGGCTTTTATGGCCCCGTTTGGCAGGAATTAAAATTTTGGAAAAATGTTTCCGAAAGAAATCGATTATAATTCAAAACATGGTTTTGTTTTTTCCGAATTACTTCCTCTGTTATAAAATAAAATTAATTCCTTTTCTCTGAGACACGGGAGTACACGGTACTCATCTCACTACTGTGAGCACCTAAACACGAAGTTAACATATTTATTTAAGATCGATTCACGACATACATCGTCGACTACGAGAAGAATAGTGGCTTTAGATTTAAAATAAATTCAAAACCAATCACCTGTATTAACTCTTTGACTTAAACTCAGATGAGCAAGTTTCACTATAAAAAAAAGCCTAACCATTTGAGCTCGTTTAGCTCGCAATTCAAATAGGTTTCTTTTTTTTTTCTAAAATCCAATGCAATTCAATAAGCGTTTTCACACTCTGAATCTCTGGATCGTTTAGTACAGATGTATATCTTTTTCTCGTCAAAACCAGCTTGGTTTGGCGGGGATTTTCTTGTACAAACGCTATAACTCCCCTTGATCTCTACGTGCACCAAACAATTACACGGTTTATTCTCGCCTCCATGACAGATCAGTAAGGGCCCACTCGTCATACGTACAGCGCAGGAGGGACGTGGTGGTCCAGCTTGGCGTCGGGCACCTAAGAGCACAATAATATAGCTACGGGTACAAGAATGAGCAACCTATCCGGATGGCTCGTGGGGTAGGACCGCCGAATCGCCCACCTGTCATCGGACGTGTCAATGGAGGAAGAGAGGGGGAAGATAGCCGGGGCCCGGGGGGGAGGGAGATGGGGTGGTGGCCTGGTGGGCGAGCGGCAGGTGGACCGCGCGGGTGGAGGAAGCACAGCACTGGAGTCTGGAGGCGGAGAGGGGGCGAGGGGTCAACTCGCCGGGTCCATCATCCATGGACCGCGTGATATTTTCGCGGCGTGAGGCCGTTTCGCTCGGCGCTCCGTCGACCAGGCAGGCCAAGGAATTCAGCACCTGTGGCTGACTGGCTGTGGCAGCGCCGCGCGCGGGCGTTAAGTACGAGGTGAGCAGCGCCGTGAATTTGTCGCGTGTGCAGCTGTGTACCGTACGGTACTGTATCTTAGAGAGGTCGACCAAAACGTGAACAAAAGCTACCACCATCGACTCGTTGCGTTTTTTTTCTGTCTTGCACGTGCTCGTAGCCAAACTTGTGAAGCATGCTCACACCGTCCGTCACACTCGCATGAAGCCCATATAGTATCATAAATACTCGTTCCGTAGCAAGTTACGACTTACTCCAGCCGACCAGCCCCACGCCACAAAGGCACAAACGGGGCACACCGCTGTGCAGTCCTCGAGCAGTCGAGCGCGCCCTCACGTGCGCAGAGAACGGACGGTCGCGCCGCGGTCTAGGTGGCGGGCGGGCAGGCAGAGGCAGCGCCGCTGTTTTTTCCCCGGCCCGGGCGGGCAGGTGGCCTCGTGGCGAAGCGGCACCGCCGGCTTCCCGTCGAGACGCGCCCAAGTGGCGCTGCGCCCTCCCGCTGCCTCGCGCGGACGGCAGATTTTTGCTCCCGCCCCGTTCCCGTCAGCGCTCGGCACGCCGCCGTGGCGCGGGCTGGGCCGATGGCCGACGCCCATCCGTCGCTCTCGCCTCTCGGCTCGTCCCGGTCCGGTCGTGGTTGCCTGGTTGGTAGTTGGCTGCTGCTCATCGGCTTGGTTCGTTCCTCCGTCTGACGCCGTCCAAGCTCGATCGATCGCCTGGCGCTGGCTGCTGCTCAAGTTTCGCTTGGCTTGTTCGAGCCTCGCGCTGCATTGACTCGCACAAGAACCAGGCGAAGTTTGGTGGCGTAGCGGGGTTAGCTTAGCTGCTGCCAGTAGAACCAACTTTTTCCGCAGTTTTAGAGCTCGAGTAATGACGGCTCCTGTACTGGGGGCTACTTGCTCGTGTACCGCGCGGTTTCGGCGCAGGGCCGTGGTGGCATGGTCAAAACCTGTTTCCGGGCTCCACGCGTTCTCGGATCCGGCGCATTCGGTGTGACTCCGTGGTTCCCTCGGCCCGCACGCTGTTTTGTGCAACTTGCGGTTCACTTGATCAGGATGAGGATGAACACTGCCTAATTTCTGTTTTGTGTGTGATGACTGTGCACAGGTCACGTTGTCCGTGAGCAATTAGAACAAAAATTCTGGGTCGTTTTCTGGAACAAAAAAAACTCGTTCTCTTTTCTGTCTACTAGTATTGTCTTGTGTCACAAGAAGAAGCTACCTCGTTGCATACCCAAAAAAACGAGAAGAACATATACTCCTCCGTTGGACTGAATGTACACTAGAAATGCTTATTGGATGACAACTTCGATTAGATTTCTCGGACAAATTAAAATGACTCTGTTTCTTACACCGCATCGTCCAATGTTTTCTTGAGCCGATAATAAGCGATGGAAGCAAGGCAAGAGACGAAGAAAAGCCACCATTTTTTTGTCACCCTAGAATCGTGTCCGTTTTTGTAATGGCATCGCTTGGCGTCGGATGGCGGTGGCGGAGCACCGGTCCTCGTTCAGTCTAACGCTAGGCGATTAAACCAAGCGTGATCTTAACCTTAACCTGCCGTCACCGCGGCGCATGCGGTCAATCGAAGCGGTAATCATCATCAGTTGTGTCATCACTTATGAACGTAACCGAGAGCCCAAAATGTTGGAATCGCTTCCTGTGTTTAAACACGACGATGTTGTTACCATTGGAGTAGTATTTATTTATTAGCAGCATTTTATTTACTTCCACGGTCAATTCAATTCCGCGGGCACCGCAAAACAGAGGAAGTCAAGCCTGACGAACGGCATGACCGAGCCCGGCGGACGTAGCCGCTAGCCGGGCCGCTCGTATCTGATCTGAACCGTACCGAGGCAGTCAATGAACAGGTGCGTGCGATCCACTGCATCTGAATTCTGAACTCTGAAGAACATCGTCCGCGTCGGCATGCACGCACGCACCGTTTGACACCTGCAGGCAATTCCAGAACCCATGCTTTGTGAGCTGTGATCCGCTGATGATCGCCACTCTTCCCATTTCTATCTAATCCCTTAATTCGTTCACACGCGTGCGTGTCGAGCTGTGGACTGATGGCTTTTGCCGGGACAGAAAACTAAGCGCGCGGCATGGGCACCGCGGGTTCTCGGAGTAGCTGACCTGACCAACCAGACGCGTCCCCACCTGAGCTGCGTCGTCTCCATGCCCGAACAAAGTGTCGGTGTTAGCTTGATCTCCTTCGGTGGTCCAATGATCGAGTCAGGTCTTGATCCCGCGTTATAATCGGGACGCCTAATCGAATCAATGGTTGGTGGACCTCCATCACGCAGCGCCATAAAAAGAAGATGAGGACCGGGTGTAGGGTCGAGATGACAGACTAGAATAGCTGTTACCCCTTCACTAAGCAAAATTCGCAGCGACCGGACGCGTCGGTCGTGATGACCGGACACGCCAGGCCCTGCGTCCGGTCACTCTTGGCCGTCCATGTGGCGCCCGCGTTCAACGTTGCGCGTTGATCTCCAACGGTCGACTGCCGCGCGCCAACGGTCAAATGATGATCGGACGCACCTCTGCGCCAAGATCGGTGTTAGTTGATCTCCTTCGGTCCAATGATTGAGTCGGGTCTTTTGATCCCGCGCTCTGATCGGGGACGCCCAATCGAATCAATGGTTGGTGGACCTCCGTCGCGCAGCGTCATAAAAAGGAGGTGGGGGTCGGGGCACTCGGTACGAGGTTCACTGTCGCCACCACAATCCTCACCAACAAAACCTAAGCCGATCTAGAGGGGGCGCCGTGAACGACGGAAAGCGCCACCGCTTCCGCCGCCGGACTCCACTGCTACACTACATCGACACCATGACCAGCTCCTCCGCCAAGCCTGCCGATGGTCGGCAACGCCTCCCCACTCTTATCCTATATTCTAGGGTTTACTATATCCTAAATATAAGTTTATACCCGCTAGATCTACTGCTAGTCGGTCTTAAGTTCTATCGATGGTATCAGAGACTACCTAGTGTGTAGATCCAGATCGGGGTAGAAAACTAAAAAGAAATAAGAAGGAGATGAAAGATTTTGAATTTCTCAAACCCTAACCCTAACCCTAGAAGAAAGGTCGGCGAGGGGAGGGACCTACCCGGGTTTCCCTCACCCCCGGCACTACCGCCCGTCGTCTTGAGGAAGACCGTCAAGAGCTAGAAGAGAGCCGCCCGGCTCGGCTCAATGGCATCTTGACTTCGACGCGCTGCCAGCAATGCTGAGCAAATGGCCACAATATCGCCTGCGCGGCTCGGCGCGATGGGCGCCACGGCGGCGGCGCCACCTCCTACGTCGCATCCACTCTTGAGACCTCGGGTGCGGCTGCTATGGTGTGCAAGAAGAGAGAGAAAGGGGTATTCAGATTCAAATTATGCGGGAGATGATAGAAAGTCCACGTTAGGATACATATTTACTCTCGCAGGAGGAGCTATATCGTGAAAAAGCTCCAAGCAAACCGTCACTACATCGTCTACGATGTATGCCGAGTTTGTAGCGTGTTATGAGGCCACAGGACAGGTGAATTGGCTGAAGAAGTTTATGCCCGGGTTGAAAGTGGTAGACGACATATATAAGCCACTCAAGTTATACTGTTATAATAATCCAGCAGTATGTTATGCTCACAACAATAAGTCAAGCATTAGTGATAGTAAGAGTACTACATTGGGGATGGGACCTTTTGCAAGTGACTCTACAGGAAAATGGCATAGTTGCCTAGTCTCTACACCCAAGTCTCAGCAGAATGGAGTAGGTAAAGACGAACTGTATGTTGTCAAACACA